GTCGGGGAATTTAATCAGGATAATTTAGTAAAAGGGATAGACAGATAACACAGCTTGGGCCATATCTGTGTCAGAGATAATGGCCCTCCTCCCTGCCCCGAGGCCAGGTGTCCAGCTGCTCCCTGTGAATGGGCAGCGCTTCTGCTCAGGAGCGGCCTTGTGTCCTCTTCTAATGCGTGTGCTTCTGCGCCATGTTTTTCCTTAGGCTTTTTTTTTGTCGGTGGTGGGGTCTGAACTCTGGGCCTGGGCGCTGTCCCTCAGCGCTTCAGCTAAAGGCCAGTGCTCTACCACTTGAGCCACAGTGCCACTTCTGGCTTTTTTTGCTTATGTGGTGCTGAGGAATCGAACCCAGGGCCTCATGCATGCAAGGCAAGCGCTCTACCGCTGAGCCACCTTCCCAGCCCTTTTTCCTTAGTTTTAAGATAATTTATTTTTAATTTAATTTTAAGTTGTTACTGTGAAAGTGATGCACACGGCACATTTCTTTCTGCATAATGTCACTCCTTCCCTTGCTCTCTGTTTTTGTTGTTTACTATACTTACCTGTTCTGCTCTCACCATAGTTTTAGGAAGTGTGTGTGTGGGGGGGGGTAGGTCTTGAACTTAGGGTCTGGGTGCTGTCCCTGAGGTTTTATGCTCAAGGCTAGCACTCTACCACGTGAGCCACAGTGCCACTTCCAACTTCTTGGTGCCCAGGTTGGCCAATCTACCTCTAGATTTGCCTATTTTGGACATTTTGTGTGTCCTGTGCCGGCTTCTTTGGCTCGGCACTGTGTTTTCAAGGGTCACCTGTGTTCCACATAGTGTGTCCGTGAGTCATCCCTCCTCACGTTGAGCAGGGAGGCTGCACTGTATTTACTCACTGCTGCATGAACATCTGAGTTGGTTCTGCATTTTGTCTGCCACGAATACCAGGGCAGTGAACACTTGTGGACAGGTGCCTGGGAGAAACTGGATGGTGGACGCGGGGTGGGGTGGGGGTCGAGGGGCGGGGCGGGGGTAAGGGATCAGTTGGCTGCTCTGTACAATGACTGTTCCATGTCCCTGCCAGCTGTGGTGAGGATTCTGACTACATCCTCTGCAGTACTTGTCTCCTTGGGACTGGGATTCGAACTCAGGACCTGGAGCTCGCTATGCAAGCGCTTTATCATTTAGACCCCCACGCTCACCTTTTTTTTTTTTGGATAGGGTCTAGAATTTTTGCCTCGGGCCAACCTCAGTCTTTGATCCTCCTCCAGGAGAACTTAGATGACAAATGTGCACTACCTTGTCCAACTTGCTGGTTAAGAATGGGCTCTAGCTTATATTTTGCCAAGGCTGGCATCAGACCACACTCCTCCCAGTCTTTGGCTCCTGAATAGTTGGGGTTTCAGACATGCGCCTCCAGCCCCAGGTCACCAGCAGCAGGATCATTCTGGGGAAGATATTTTGCCTCTGGAGTGAACACCGCTAACACTCCCAAGTCTGTCTGGCTCCCACGTCAGTGTTGGAGGCGTCAGCCTCTCTAGCATGGTATTGGCTGCAGAACCGGGGTCCTGGGCATCTGGGCTTTGCTGGTTTTGCTCTGTGTGTGTGTACCAGTCCTGGGGCTTGAACTCAGGGCCTGGGCATCTGGGCTTTGCTGGTTTTGCTCTGTGTGTGTGTGTGTGTGTGTGTGTGTGTGTGTGTGCGCGCGCATGCATGCATACCAGTCCTGGGGCTTGAACTCAGGGCCTGGGCATCTGGGCTTTGCTGGTTTTGCTGTGTGTGTGTGTGTGTGTGTGTACCAGTCCTGGGGCTTGAACTCAGGGCCTGGGCATCTGGGCTTTGCTGGTTTTGCTGTGTGTGTGTGTGTGTGTGTGTGTGTGTGTGTGTACCAGTTCTGGGGCTTGAACTCAGGGCCTGGGCATCTGGGCTTTGCTGGTTTTGCTGTGTGTGTGTGTGTGTGTGTGTGCATGCGTGCATACCAGTCCTGGGGCTTGAACTCAGGGCCTGGGCATCTGGGCTTTGCTGGTTTTGCTGTGTGTGTGTGTGTGTGTGTGTGTGTGTGTGTGTGTGTGCATGCGTGCATACCAGTTCTGGGGCTTGAACTCAGGGCCTGGGCATCTGGGCTTTGCTGGTTTTGCTGTGTGTGTGTGTGTGTGTGTGTGTGTGTGTGTGTGTGTGTGTGTACCAGTCCTGGGGATTGAACTCAGGGCCTGGGCATCTGGGCTTTGCTGGTTTTGCTGTGTGTGTGTGTGTGTGTGTGTGTGTGTGTGTGTGTGTGTGTGTGTGTACCAGTCCTGGGGATTGAACTCAGGGCCTGGGCATCTGGGCTTTGCTGGTTTTGCTGTGTGTGTGTGTGTGTGTGTGTGTGTGTGTGTGTGTGTGTGTGTGTACGTGTGTACCAGTCCTGGGGATTGAACTCAGGGCCTGGGCATCTGGGCTTTGCTGGTTTTGCTGTGTGTGTGTGTGTGTGTGTGTGTGTGTGTGTGTGTGTGTACCAGTCCTGGGGATTGAACTCAGGGCCTGGGCATCTGGGCTTTGCTGGTTTTGCTGTGTGTGTGTGTGTGTGTGTGTGTACCAGTCCTGGGGATTGAACTCAGGGCCTGGGCATCTGGGCTTTGCTGGTTTTGCTGTGTGTGTGTGTGTGTGTGTGTGTGTGTGTGTGTGTGTGTGTGTGTGTGTGTGTGTGTGTGTACCAGTCCTGGGGATTGAACTCAGGGCCTGGGCATCTGGGCTTTGCTGGTTTTGCTGTGTGTGTGTGTGTGTGTGTGTGTGTGTATGTGTACCAGTCCTGGGGATTGAACTCAGGGCCTGGGCATCTGGGCTTTGCTGGTTTTGCTGTGTGTGTGTGTGTGTGTGTGTGTGTGTGTGTGTGTGTGTGTGTGTGTGTACCAGTCCTGGGGATTGAACTCAGGGCCTGGGCATCTGGGCTTTGCTGGTTTTGCTGTGTGTGTGTGTGTGTGCGCGCGCGTGCATGCGTGCATACCAGTCCTGGGGCTTGAACTCAGGGCCTGGGTGTTGTCCCTGAGATTTTTCATTTGAGGCTAGCGTTCTCCCACCTGAACCACGGCTCCATTCCCAGCTTTTTGGTAGTTAACTGGAGATAAAGAATCTTACAGTCTTTCCTGCCGAGCTGGCTTCAAGCTGTGGTCCCTCCACCTCCTGGTCGCTAGCAGGGATTACAGGCGTGAGCCGCAGGCACCATCGCCGCCCCTGCCCCTCCTGTGGTCGGTCACATGCTGTGGAATGCCTGGCACATTGCTAGTGGCTGAGGCTGCCGTGAGGGTCTGAGTGCGAATTCCCAGGTGCACCGCCCACCCCAGCCTCACCCTCGTTCACAGGTCCTAGGTGGGCACTCTCCGCTCCCAGCCCCAACCTGCCTCCACCCCACCTGGCCTCTTCCACCAGAGGAGGCAGCTGGCCCAGCAGAGGCCTGGGGAGCTGTCAGCAAGGGCCTCGGCGTCCAGAGCCATGACTGTCCCCAGTTCCTCCCTGGACATTGTCCCCAGGCCTGCCAGCATGGCCCGGCCTGGCTGCCGTCCCTTCCACCCAGAACCCAACCCTTTTGGGCCTGCACCAGCATGCAGCCCAGCTCCTGGCACAGCGGCACACTTGCCACTGGGGGCCCAGCCCTGACGGGGGGCCGGAGGGGCCCGCCTGCTCCCCCACGCTGACCCCGCCTCACCCGAGTGCTGTGCCTTTGCCCGGTCTGTGGGGAGGGTTCCACGTGCGGGTCCAGGTCCTCCCCCTGTTGGCACCTGGGGAGCAGCCAGTAAATATTTGTTGAGTGAACACATGAGGACCTCTGGGGTTGAATGGCTCCCCCCGCCCCCGTGCCCCCAAGGTAGAGCCATCCTGGCTTCCAGTGGCCCTCTCCGTGGCAGACAGGAACGCTGTGGTCAGAAAACACAACCCCTGCACCATGCACACTGCCGTGTGCTGCTGGGCAGGTGGTTTTTGTTTTGGTTGGTCGTGGGGCTTGAACTCAGGGCCTGGGCGCTGACCCCCAGCTCTTCAGCTCAAGGCGAGCGCTCTATCGCTGGAACCACAGCACCACTAGTTTTTCCTTTTGTTTTTGTCGTTCCGGTTGAACTCAGGGCCTGGGCGCTGTCCCTGAGCTTTTGTGCTCAAGGCTGGTGCTTTACCAGGTGAGCCACTGTTCCACTTCTGGCTTTTTGCCTGTTAATCAGAGATAAGAGTCTCACAGTTTTCTTTCTCCAAGCTAGCTTTGAACTATGAGTTTCAGATCTCAAAATACAGGGTGCATTGCTGGCTCCTGACCCCATTAATTAAGTTATTTTTGGCAGTTTCTTGGGGATAAGACTCTTACAGACTTTCCTGCCCTGGCTGGCTTCAAACTGTGATCCTCCCATCTTAGCCTCCAGAGGTAGCTAGGATTACAGGTGTGATCACCAGCGCCGGGCCCCCTTTTATCTTTTTTTGGCTGCAGTGTACTTTGCGGACGCTGCCTGCGGAGAGGAGGCGAGGCGGGCGGAGGGGACCTTCCATGCCTGGGGCATCTTCGTTTCTGGTGCTGGGGTCCCCTCTGCCTCCCTCCTACACAGGTTTCCCGCGGCCTCCCCCACGGGATGCCCTAAAAGGGCAGAGGCCAGCTTGGCTGCAGCCAGGCTCTGAGGACCCAGCTCTGCCCAGGGACCCTGCCGAGCGAGTGGCCGAGGCCAGGCCTTCCCTGCTGGAGGCCTCAGCCCTGGGGCTTTGCAGCCGCTCAGGGTCTCCTGCGTGCCAAGGACCACGCTTGTCCCCCAGGGCCAGTCATTACAGCCACTGGCGTCCTGTGTGTTTTGTGCGGACCTGTGGGATGGTGGGGGATTTGGGGGTTCAGGGGTTCTGTGGATAGGACCCTGTGATGCCCTGGGGCATCCTGGCGGAAATGTAGAGGTCGGGGGCAGCGAGGGGCGAGGTTCACAGGGACAGGACCCGTCATGGATGAAAACGGGAGCTCCGCGGTGGGGAGGAAGGCCCTGGGATCCGGTACGCGACTCCTGAACCCCGTCTCTGCATCTCCCCTCTGTACAGCTAACCTCAGGATGGCAGAGGCTCACCAGGCCGTGGCCTTCCAGTTCACCGTCACCCCCGATGGCATCGACCTCCGGCTGAGCCACGAGGCCCTGAAACAGATCTGCCTCTCGGGACTCCACTCCTGGAAAAAGAAGTTCATCCGCTTCAAGGTTTTCCCATCTTTGTCTCAGTCTCTGCCATGTCACCCTGAGAAGAGGAGGGTTTCCCCACGGCTGCTGACAGCCTCCGCCCCACAGCAGCCCGGCTCTCACGCACGCAGTGGCCCACAGTTTACTAGTACTCTTTTCTGGCAGTACTGGCGCTCAAACCCAAGATTCATGCTTGCAAGGCAGGTGCTCTACCACTTGGCCTATGCCTCCAGCCTTTTTTTTTTTGGGGTCCGGTCATGGGCCTGAACTCTGGGCCTGGGCGCTGTCCCTCAGTTCTTCAGCTCAAGGCTAGCACTCTACCACTTGAGCCACAGAGCCACTTCCGGCTTTTTTTTTCTTCTGGTTATGTGGTGCTAACGAATCGAACTCAGGGCCTCATGCATGCAAGGCAAGCGCTCTACCACTGAGCCACCTTCCCGGCCCCTCCAGCCTTTTTTAAACAATTTTAATTCTGCTTTTGTGACATGGTCTTCCAGGTAGGCCTTTAACTCGCCATCTTCCCACCTCTGTCTCCTGAGTGGCCGGGGTTACAGGCGTGTACTTCCATGCCCGGTTGGCTCACTGGGCTCTTGTCTTGGTCCTGTGAGGCTGGTGGAGCCCACAGCCTGCTGTGATCAGGGGAAGGACTTGCCCTGCTGGAAGCGGACAAGACCAGAGTGCAGCTGCGTCTCTGCCCAGCTGACTCCTTTCCATTGTGTGGAAAAGGAAGCGCTTTGCTGGGTACCTGTGGCTCAGATCGTAACCCACTAGCTACTCCGGAAGCTGAGAGCTAAGGATGGAGGTTTGAAGGTTGCCCAGGCAGAGAAGCCCAGGACACTCTCAACCTCCAATTCATCATCAAAAAGTTACAAGTAGAGATGTGGCCCACATGGCGGAATGCTAGCCTTGAGCAGAAAAGCTGAAGGACAGATCCCAAGCCCTGCACAAAAAAAGAAAAAAGAGGGCTGGGAAGGTGGCTCAGTGGCAGAGTGCTTGCCTTGCATGCATGAGGCCCTGGGTTCAATTCCTCAGCACCATATAAGCAGAAAAAGCCAGAAGTGGTGCTGTGGCTCAAGTGGTAGAGTGCTAGCCTTGAGCTGAAGAGCTGAGGGACAGCGCCCAGGCCTAGAGTTCAGGCCCCACGACCAGATCCCCCCCCCCAAAAAAAAAAAAAAAAAGAAAGAAAAAAAAGAGAGAGAGAAGGAAGGAAGGAAGGGAGGGTTTCAAAACTTGCGTGCGGTTGTGCACTGACTGATTTGCTGATAAAGTATTCAAACACTAAAATTGGTCCACCGGAATTCCAGAACACATGTGTTCTCAATTATCTACCCTTTTTTAAAGTAAACATCTTCCTTGGTTGATTTTAGTTGTTTTCAGATTTCCATTTTTCCCTCCTTACAATCCTTTCTCCCTCCCTCCCTCCTTTCTTCCTTCCCTGCCTCCCTCTCTAGCTGTGTGAGGCTAGTGCTCTACCAAGGAGCTACTTCCCCGGCCATGGCTCGGCATCCCTGGGGCCAAGTTGCTGGCTTTAGGTGTGGCCTGAAGGTGACCAGGTGGAGTTCTGTGCAGCTGGCAGGGGGGCGGGCGCCACCTATGGGTGGAGTAAGTTTAAGAGCTGATCACACACAGAACAGGCAGTGTGAGGTGTCACCAGAGGGAGGGGGGCCAGCAGGGCGGCCAGGCTGCGGCAGGTGTGTGGACTTGTGACAGGGAGATGTGAGGGATGTATTTTCTTCCTTTCTCTTTAGCTTTATTGAATTAGTTTATTTTAAAATAACGTTTTTGTCTCTAAAAATAGTACGATCGTGGGCCTGGCCTCCTAAAAGTGAAGACCCTATTTCAGAAATAACGGTAGCAAGATGAGAGCTGGTGGTTCATGCCTGTCTTCCTAGCTACTCTGGAGGCTGAGATTTGAGGATCATGGTTCAAAGCCAGCTGGCAAGAAAGTTATTCAGACCCTTATCTCCAATGAGCCACCAAAAATCCAGAAATAGAACTGTGGTTCAGGTGGTAGATTACTAGACTTGAGAGAAAAAAAAAAGTTCAGGGACAGCACCTAGGCCCCGAGTTCAAGTTCCAGGACCAGCACACACACACAAATAATGACCATAGCACAAATGTGGCTCAAGTGCTAGAGCACCTGCCTAGCTAGCTAACACAAGGCCCTGAGGTCAAACCCCAGCACTTCGATAAGAAAAACCCCAACAGCCAGGTACCCATGGCTCACATCTGTAATCCTAGCTACTCAGGAGGCTGAGATCTGAGGATCTCGGTTCAAAGCCAGCCCAGGCAGGAAAGTCCGTGAGACTCATCTCCAGTAAACCACTAGAAAACCGGAATTGGCACTGTGGCTCAAATGGTAGAGCACTAGTCTTGAGCTGAAGAGCTGAGGAACAGTGCCCAGGCCCAGAGTTCAAGGCTAGCGCTCTACCACTTGAGCACAGTGCCACTTCCAGCTTTTTCTGTTTATGTGGTGCTGAGGAATCGAACTCAGGGCCTCCTGCATGCGAAGCAAACACTTTACCACTGAGCCACCTTCCCAGCCCCCGGCTTGGTTATTTTTGACATAGCATCTCCCTTTTATGCTGTCTGTGATCCTCTTGCATTTGCTTCTCTGTCTCTGGAGAATCTCAGGCACACCTCACTGCACCCAGACACTGTTTCTCTGTGGCTGGGATGACAGGCTCATGCAGCCACACTCAAACACGGTTGGAGATGGTGTCTTAGAACTTTTACACCCAGGCTAGTTTCCAGCCGCAACTCCCCATCTCCACCTCCCAAGTAGCCAGGATTACAGGATTGAGCCACCATGCCTGGCATGAAGTTTTATGCTTTCAAGATCAAGTTTTATTTGACGCCCAGGTTTCCAAGTCTTGATCTTCCTACGTCGCCCTCCCGAGTGCCAGGATTGCAGGAGTGCACTACTGTACCCTGCTGAGCAGCGGTCCCCATGGCTCTCCTCCCACTTTGCGCAGTTACCAGCACCTTGCCAGTTGTTGCATGTCCTCTCCCTGTCCTCCCTCTTTTATCACTGGAGAGTTCTTCCAGTAAATTAGAGGTTAGAGGGCCAAGCGGTGTCTTGGCCCAGGAGCAGCACAGGTAGTTTGGAGCTGGGGTCTCAAGCGTCCTGAGCAATGGGTGGCTGAGGTGGGGACTTCAGACAGGCGCAGGGATGTCTGTCCTTCGCAGGTGCCAGGGCCAGGTTAGGCAAAGGCTGGGTGTGTATATGGTGATCTCCTGCTTGGGTTGTGCTCATGTCCTGGGGCCCAGTGCCAGTTCCAATGGTTGGAACCGCTGTGACCACGGCCCCTGGGGGAGAGTCCCATCCAGTGAGAGGGTCTTCCCCACATTGTGGACACACTGCCGTGGGGAAGGGCAGCGTGGGGAGGGCTGCTCACCGTGGGCCTCTTGTTACAGAATGGCATCCTTACCGGCGTGTTTCCAGCCAGCCCCTCCAGCTGGCTCATCGTGGTGGTTGGCGTGGTCTCGTCCACTTATACCAAGGTGGACCCCTCTTTGGGGCTGATCGCGAGGATCAACCGGTCCCTGGACACGGTCGCCACGTGAGTGAGCCTGAATCCCGTCCCCGGTCCATCAGTCTGGGCCGTGGCTTTCCCTGTCGGTGTGTATCTAGCCATGCCTGTCGGTGCGTGTCTAGCTGTCCTGTCGGTGCGTGTCTAGCTGTCCTGTCGGTGCGTGTCTAGCTGTCCTGTCGGTGCGTGTCTAGCTGTCCTGTCGGTGTGCGTCCAGCTGTCGCTGTCAGTGTGCATCTGGCTGTCCGTGGCTTTCCTGCTGGCTGCAGTCTGGTCACTCACAGCCCCTGTGCGTGCTGTGTATTTGATTTGAGGCTTCGGCCCTCCTTCCCCTCTCTGCGCTTTCCTCTCCTGGCCTGGTGTTAAGTCCTGCCCTCCCCCCGGAATTTGTGGCCCCAGACTTCCCCCTGGAGTCTGGACAGAGAGAGTGACCAGGGCCCTGGGCGCCGCACTGCCAGAAGGAGCCTGGCTGCCAGGGCCGATGGCTGCTGATGGAGTCACATTTTAAAATGTCTTCTGTTTTGTGGGGCGTTAGAGATTGAGCCCAGGTCCCCAGACTCTTGCTTGGCTTTTTTTTTTTGGGGGGGGGGTCTGGTCGTAGAGCTTGAACTCTAGGCCTGGGCGCTGTCCCTCAGCTTTTCAGCTCAAGGTGAGCACTCTACCACTTGAGCCATAACGCCACTTCCGGCTTTTTTCTTTTTGCTTATGTGGTGCTGAGGAATCGAACCCAGGGCCTCATGCATGCAAGGCAAGCGCTCTACCACTGAGCCACCTTCCCAAGCCCGAGACTCTTATCTCCAATAAACCACCAAAAAGCTAGAAATGGAGCTGAGGCTCAGGTGGTAGAGCTCCAGCACAAAAACTTGAGAGGAAGTGCCTATGCCAAGCCCCAGGACTGGCACACAAACATGCATGGGCACACACACGCATGCACACACAGACAAGCGCGCCCAAGTCACATCCCTGACCGTTGTGGAAGGGGGCCTGTTCCAGGCGCATCCCGGCGTTCTGTTGTGCCAGCTCCATCGCCACTGCCAGCTCCATCGCCACTCTGGTCAGCAAACTCGGTACCCCAGGCCAGGCGGTCACCAGTCTTGGTCACCCACAGGCTCTGCTCCCCTGGGACCGCTGGTGTGGGGTGTGGGGCGGCCTGGCTGCCTCAAGATTTCCCCAGGCAGCCCAGGGCCTTTATAAGGCTTCCTTGTCCCTCTGGGCCTATTTCGGTAAACTGGGCCATCTGTGGCCCAGATTTAGAAAGGCCAGGCGAAAGGTCAGTGGCTCGAGCCTCCAGGGCTCCTTCAGACCTGTCTTCTGGGAAGGAAGGTGTGCCTGTCCCTGGGCTACTGTGCCTGCTTTGTTTGCTTGTTTTGGAGGTACTGAACTCAAAGCCGGAGCTTGCTAGGCAGGCACTCTACCACTTAAGCCGTGCCTCCAGACCTTTTTGATGTGGTTTTCTGTAGCAGCTGGGATGAGAAGAACATGTTACTGTGCCCAGATATTGTTGGGGTGGGGGGTGGTCTTTCAACCCTCCACCTCAAATTGTGAAAGTCCTAGTACCCACCTCCTGAGTAGCTAGTATTACAGGTGGAAGCCACCATGCTCAGCTTGTTTTGCTTTTTTTTTTTCTTTTGTCAGTTGTGGGGCCTGAACTCTGGGCCTGGGCGCTGTCCCTCAGCTCTTCAGCTCAAGGCTAGCGTTCTACCACTTGAGCCACAGTGCCACTTCCAGCTTTTTCTGTTTATGGGATGCTGAGGAGTCGAACCCAGGGCTCCATGCATGCAAGGCAAGCACTCTACCTCTGAGCCACCTTCCCAGCCCTTGTTTTGCATTTTCTGATGCTGGGGACAGATCCCAAGGCCTCTTGCACTGCTGAACAATATCCCCGGGCCAGGGCTGCTGTTTTCAGAGTGTTGTGCTTTGGGAAGCCTGAGCCCTGTTGCTTCATCCTGCAGCCACCTAAAGCGATTGCTCTGTAAAAGAAGAACTTTCCTGTCCCAGAGCAAGGGAGCATGCTCAAAGGTCCTGCACCTGTCTTCTTACCTGTGTTTGTGAAAGTCCTGCCCAGCTTTTGTGAACCGGGGTCTGTGGTGTTGTGTCAAGTGTAGCTGATCAGCAAGATAGCTGTTTAAATCCTCAGATCTGAAATTAGATTTGGAGATGACAGTGGAATGTAGATGAAGACCAGTTACAGAAAAATGGGCTTGCGGCCGAAGTCTTCTCCCCTGGGAGATAGTCATTCGGCCACCTGGTCACTCAGGTGTTCCCAGGGGCAGGGCGACTGGTGTCAGCTGTGGGAAATGGCTGCCTGGGAGGCATCTCAGCGTGTTGTGTTGTTTGTATTTGTGTTGTGCCATTGGGGCTGGAACTTAAAGCTGTCACTCTGTTTTTGTCAGTCAGTATGTTGAGATTTCCAAGACTCCTAGGCCTAAGACCCCTCCTCAACTTTTGTGTTTTGTCTCCTTTTTTCTTCAGTGATCTGTGGTTGCGTTTTCAATCATTTGAAGTCTGGTGGTGAGAGTTCGCAGGTCTGTGTAGATATACACAGAGTTGGCATGCTCTCAGCCTTCTCCGCCACAGGTGGCTCCCGCCTGTAATCCCAGCTACTCAGGAGGCTGAGATCTGAGGATCGTGGTTTGAAGCCAACTTGGGCAGGAGCGTCTATGAGACTCTTCAGTGAGCCACCAGAAGACCGGGAAATGGGGCTGTGGATCAGAGTAGCAGAGCACCTGCCTTAGCAGAAAAAGCTCAGGACAGCGCCCAGGCCCTGAGCTCAAACCCCACAACCCACAAAAACAAAGTGGCAGCCTTTTGTTCTTTTCCCTTTTTTCTTTGTGCTTGTCTCCCCGGCTCTCCACTAACGCCCTGGCCTCTGCTTGTCTCCCCGCAGTGGCCGCCTGTCCTGCCAGACCAAGAAGGTGGTGAGCAGTGTGCTGTTCGGCACCGGCCTGTGGGTGGCGCTCATCATCACCATGCGCTACTCCCTCAAGGTGCTCCTCTCCTACCACGGCTGGATGTTCGTGGAGCACGGCAAACTGAGCCGCTCCACCAGGATCTGGATGGTGAGGACGGGGTGCCCCCCCTTCCCCCGGGCCGGGCACCGTCCCTGTGTGTGACGGGCGCATGCGTGAGCGGGGACTGCATCCCCCACAGCTCGGTAGGCCTCGACTCTGGCCTCTGCTGTAAGGAGCAGTGGCGTGGGCCCCACGCTGCTCAGCCGGGAGCCCCTGCCTGTGCTTCACGGGGTCACGGAAGTTTCTTTCTAGAAGAACTGTAATGTTATTTTGACTTTTTAAAAAAAGTGTTTTTTTTCTTTTGTGCCAATACTGGGGCTTAAATAAGGGCTTCATGCTCTTACTACCCCCCCAACCAAGCTGGCACTCTACCGCTTGAACCATAGTTCCCCTACCAGCCTTTTGCTGGTTAACTAAAAATAAGAGTCCTCAGACTTATGTGCCCTGATCAAATCATGATCCTCAGATCTCAGCCTCCTGAGCAGCGAGGATGCTGGGCCTTCACTGCCCAGTCTAAGCCAGGGCCCGGGAGGCTTCACAGGCTCCACGAGGCCCCCCTGGGGTGGGCTTGAGGACCGGGCACCTCAGCTGACTTCATTCCTAGGTCCCCGAGCCCGTGGTCTCTAGGAGGACAAAACCCCCCAAGCTTGAGAGGTTACTCACCCAGGGGCTCTTGGTCAGGGACTTAGGTGTCTCAAAGACTCCATGAGAGTTGGCTTTTATTTGGCCAGGTTTTGGTTGTTTTCTGGAGGTCCTGGGGCCTGAACTCAGGGCTCAGGGCTGGGCGCTGTCCTTGAGCTTTGTTTGGTGCTCAAGGCTGGCACTCTACCACTTGAGTCACACCTTCATTTCTGACTTTCTTGTTGATTAGCCAGAGATAAGAGTCTCACAGACTTTCCTGCCCAGGCTGGTTTGAAGCGTGATGCTCAGATCTCAGCCTCCTCAGTAGCTGGGATTACAGGTGTGAGCCACCGGCACCTGGCTTAGCCTGGTTTCATTTTGTTTTCTAGCGCTCCTGGGGATTGAACTCAGGGCCCTGAGCGTGGGAGCTAGGCCCTCTACCCCTTGAACCATGCCTCTGTCACTGACTTTCTCCTCCAGGCCATGGTCAAGGTCTTCTCAGGCCGGAAGCCCATGCTGTACAGCTTCCAGACGTCCCTGCCCCGCCAGCCCGTCCCCGCCGTCAGAGACACCATCAGCAGGGTAGGTGCGGGCCTGGCGGCGGGGAGGGGGGTTGTCGTGTTTCTGTTGTAAATTATGGGAAATTTTGCCACAACGTAAAAAGTACCATTTGAATCACTTCTGGGCTGGTGCTGCCAGGGTTTGAACTCACAGCCTTGCACGTGCTGGGCAGGAGCTCTTGCCACACCTCTAACTCCCATGTTAAATTTTTTTTAACCTCTACTGGGACTTGAACTCGGCAGAGCCTTGCGCTCCCACTTGTTTTTTCCCCCTCAAGGCTGGTGCTCTGCCCCGCTTGACCCCAGGGCCTCCTGAGTAGCTAGGATGTGGGGTGTGTGCCACCAGGGGGCAGCCAGTCCTCTCTGAACACATTCCACCTTCCGGAACTGCGGGCAGAGGAGTCTCAGCCTGGGGGCTGGGGTCCGGGCCCTGCCTGCGTGGCCGCTTCCCAGCGGGCCAGGTGACTGGGGGTGGCCTAGGCTCAGAGCTCAACACGTCTCCCACCTCAGTGTTGGTGCTAAGCGTGTGCACACGTGTATTCTGAACACAGCCTGAAGACACAGGGCAGCTGGCACCTCAGCGGCCTGGGCTCCGTGCCCCGTCCCGTCCAGCTCAGCTCCCTCCAAGAAGCGGCAGTATAGCTAGAAACAGGTCTTTTATCCAAGGTCATCTAGAGATAAGAGGATCCCTTAGCAGTGATACCCGGCCCACCCCCCATCCTGGGGCTTGGAGTCAGGACGGGGGTGGGGGGGAGACAGGGGTGGGAGTTGGGGGGTGGGGGGGATTGTCTCTAGGATCCTTTTGCTCAAGGCTAGCACTCTACCACTTGTAGTACAGCGCCACTTCTGGCTTTTTCTGTGATTAATTGGAGATAAGAGTCTCACAGACTTTCCTGTTTTGGGCTGGCTTTGAACATCAATCCTCAGATCTCAGCCTCCTGAGAAGCTAGGATTACAGGTGCGAGCCACCAGCACCCCAGCCTTAAGGCTGATGTTCTACCACTTTGAGCCACAGTACCCCATTTGATGGGGTGGTTAATTGGAGATAAAAATCTCTTGGACTTTCCTGCCCAGGCTGGCTTTGAACCATGATCCTCAGATGTAGCCTCCTAAGTAGCTAGGATTACAGGTATAAGCTGTCAGCCCCAGGCTTTAGCAGTGACCTTGATCCTGTAAGTTTCTTGGTTTATCTTGTGGTGAGGAGATGGGGCAATTTCTCTCTGTTCATTCATATTTAATGAACAGTGTCTGGGCGCTGGTGACTCACGCCTGTCATCCTAACTACTCGGGAGGCTGAGAGCTGAGGATCGCAGTTCAAAGCCAGCCTAGGAAGCCAAGCAAAAGCACAAGGCCCTGATTTCAAGCCCAGGACTGGCATGTGCATGCACGCGCGCGCGTGTACACACACACACACAAATTACAACTTCAAACTGAGGCTCACAATTGTAATCCTAGCTACTCAGGAAGCTAAAGATCTGAGGATTGTGGTTCAAAGCCATCCAAGGCAGGCAAGTCCACAAGTCTGTTATCCAATTAATCACCCATAAATCTGAAAGTGGAGCTGTGGCTTAAGGGGTAGAGCACCAGCCTTGAGGGAAAAAGCTCAGGGACAGCGCCTAGTCCCTGATTTCAAGCCCCAGGGCCAGCACAAATATGAAGTTACCATCTCCGTGAATGAGAAGGTTTACGGCCTTGGGAACGTGGATGTGGTGGGCTTTGGGGCCCCACGTGAGTCAGGGAGCCCGGGTGAAGGGCCTGACTTGGCGACTGCTGTGCATTGGCCGCAGTACCTGGAGTCCGTGAGGCCGCTGATGAAGGAGGAGGAGTTCCAGCGGATGACGGTGCTGGCCCAGGACTTCGCTGCCAACCTTGGACCCAAACTGCAATGGTACCTGAAGCTGAAATCCTGGTGGGCCACAAACTACGTGAGTGCTGTTGCGTGTGACCTCCCACGGTGGAGTTTTTCTGTGTGGAGACATTTGGGGGGTATTTATGTGCAGTAGCAGTGTTTGCGGATGGTACTGGGGAATTCAGTTCCTTGCACTCGCTAGGCAGGTGCTCTACCCCTTAAGCCAGTGCCCTAGCCCTTTTGCATTTTTCATTTCCTTGTCTTTTACCACCAACCCGTACCTAATCCCACCTGTGCCTCTCGCAGAGCTGTGGTGGCAGCCAAGGACCCTCATTCCTGGCTTGCTTGTTGAGATGTGGTCTTACGTGTTGTTGAGACTGGTCTTGAATTTCGCGGCCTGCGTGCAATTTTTCCTCATGAAATTCTTCTGTATAAATACTGACGTGGGGGCCGGGGTCACGGCGGGAACTGCAGCGTAGACCCGGGGACAGAGTCAGTGGTTTTCCCTGGGGGCAGGAGGCTCTCCTGGGGCATCTGTGCCCACGGGGCATGGTGCTGCTGGTGGGTGAGCTCCTAGTGTTTCATCTGGAGGGAAGTTAGGTGCTGCCACTCCTCCCCTCTGGTTTGGTCCCTTTTTTTGTGGGTTATTTCTTTGGTGTTTTGGTGGTGCTGGGATTTGAACTCAGAACCTTGTGCTTTCCAGGCAGGTGCTCTACCATTTGAGCCACACCTCCAGCCTGTGTCGGGTTCCTTCTGAGTCCAAGAGTATCAGATCCGATGTCCGGTCAGGGCTCCAGACTATGGATGGTGTAGACAGTTTGTGCCAGGCCCCAGCTGAGTTTCACATGTGATGCCAGCGGCAGGGGAGGGAAGGTGGAAGAGAACATATTAAAAATAACCCAGATGCTGGGTCCAGTGGCTCACACCTGTAACCCCAGCTGCTTGGGACATGGAGATCAGGAGGACTGTGGCTCAAAGCCAGTCCAGGTAAAAAGTTAGCGAGATTCCATTTCAACTTGTGAGCCTGGGCATGGTGGTATATATCTTTCACTCCAGCCACACTGGAGGCCTTAGGCCGGAGGGTCATTGTCTGAGGCTCAACCAGGGGTGAAATGAATAAGAGACCTCTCTGCAAAGATGCGCGAAGCAAGAGGGCTGGTGCAGTGCTCCAGCTGGGCGGGGCTGTCGAGGGCTGGTGCAGTGCTCCAGCTGGACGGGGCTGTTGAGGGCTGGTGCAGTGCTCCAGCTGAGCGGGGCTGTTTGCCCCACAGGTGAGCGACTGGTGGGAGGAGTACATCTACCTCCGGGGCCGAGGGCCGATCATGGTGAACAGCAACTACTATGCCATGGTGAGTGGGTCCTCTCCCCCTCTGTGGTGAGTCCAACCCCCTGTAAGTCCTCCCCCATTGGGTGAGTCTTCCCTCTCCCCTGTGGCGAGTCCTCCCTCTCCCCTGTGGCGAGTCTTCCTCCCTGGTGAGTCTTCCTCCCCTGTGAGTCTTCCCCCATGTGGTGAGTCCTTCTCCCACTGTGGTGAATTATCTTCCCCCAATGGGGGTGGGTTCCCCTCATAATGAGTCCTCTCCCCCCATGGTGAGTCCTCCCTCTCCTCTGTGGCGTGCGGTCCTCCCCATGGTGCTCGGTGGCTGGTGGGAGTAGGGTGGAGGTGGGGTAGGATGGAGGCCCTTGAGTGTGGGAGCCGTCCCCAGCGCCGGCTCTGGGCATAGCGCCATCCAGATCACAGCACCCTCGCTGTTCCTGGCTCTCCGAGCCGGGCTGGGCATGCGGGGTGACGGTCCAGGCCCTTGCGGTACCTTGCAGCCATTCCCCCAGTTCTTTATTTCGTTGTTTTTGGAGACAGGTCTGACTACATGGGCCAAGCTAGGCCTGGGGTGGACCATGCTCCTTCCTGCCCCAGTCTCCCCGGTGCTGGGATTACAGGCATCCTGTGTCTGCCTCTTCCACGGCCTTCCCTCCAGCTGCAGAGAGCGAGACTGCTGAGCAGCTGAGCAGCTGCCCGCTGGCCTTGTTGCAGGCCTGGCGGGGGGGCAAATGATTGTTTTAGACTGCAGTTATCCAGAGAACTTCCCAGTCCATCGTTTCTTGTTCCCTTCAGGAGGCTGTTTGGGGGAGAGTACTGTTGTTGTTTTAATATCATCAACGCCTCATGGCTAGGGAATACCTCAGGACACAGTAGCGCGTGTAGATGAACCGGCCATTTGTTTTCTTCCGGGGCGGGTGTGAGAGCTGGAGTGTGTACATTCTCGCAGCTTCTCCCGTGAACCTGCTCTGTGTGGTCGCCCCTCCCTTCCCCAGGACCTGCTGTTCGTCAAATCCACACACATCCAGGCAGCCAGGGCTGGGAACGCCATCCACGCCATGCTGCTTTACCGACGCAAGGTGGATCGGGAGGAAATCAAACCGGTATGTGAACACAGTGCTTTTGGTGAAACGCTCCTGGATTTATCTTGCTGGTCCTGAGGTTTGAACTCAGGGCCTTGTGCTTGCCAGACAGAGCTTGAGATGCACTCTGGCCCTGTTCTGCTTGTTATTTTTTTAATAGATGCTTGCAGTTTTGCTGACTGGACTTTGATCCTCCTATTTATGCTTCCTCACACAGATGGGGTGATAGGCACATCCCACCTTCCAGATCTTTACCTCTTGAGTGTCTGGGATTACAGGCGTGAGCCACCATACTCAGCAAGAAGCGGAATTTAAGTGTTTATTAATCTAGAAACTCAACTTAAAATTTTTTTTTTCTAGCCACCGGTGGCTCACACCTGTAATCCTAGCTACTCAGGAGGTCGAGATCTGAAGATCATGATTCAAAGCCAGCCAGGGCAGCAAAGTCCGTGAGACTCTTATCTCTAATAAACCACTAGAAAACCAGAAGTGGCGCTGTGGCTCAACTGGTAGAGCGCTCGCCTTGAGCTGAAAAGCACAAGGACAGCGCCCAGGCCCAGAGTTCAAGCCTCACGACCAACCAAAAAAATTTTTTTTTCTTTTTTTGCTGGTACTGGGGATGGGCCCCACGGGGCTGGGCATGCTAGGGTAGTACTCTACACTGACTTCCAGCACTAGCTCATGGAATTCTTTTCTGTAGATACTGGGGCTTGAACTCAGGCCTCCTGCTCTGGCTTAGCCTTTTCCCCTCAAGACTGGTATTCTGTTTGAGTCACACCTCCAGTTCTGGCTTTTTGCTGACTAATTGGAGATAAAAGACTTGCGGATTTGTGTCCCCGGGCTTGCTCTGAACCACTGTCCTCTGATCTTATGCTCTTAAATTGCTAAGATAATAGTAATTTAAATGGCCTCTATTTCTTTCGGGGGCGGGGGAGGGTTGTCTAGTTTTTTCTCTTTTTTTTTTTTTTTTTTGTCAGTTTTGGGGCTTGAACGCTGGGCCTGGGTGCTGTCCCATAGCTCTTCAGACCAAGGAGAGCGCTCCACCGCTTTGAGCCACAGCGCCACTTCTGGTTTTCTAGTGGTTTATTGGAGATAAGAGTCTCACGGCTTTTCTGCCCAGACTGGCTTTGAACCACGATCCTCAGATCTCAGTCTCCTGAGTAGCTAGGATTACAGGTGTGATAGTTTTTTCATTCATATTATTTTGAGATTGAGTTTTAGGTATTCTAAATGAATATATATGTCTATTGTACTTTAAAAATGTTTTGTTTAATGTTTGTGCTGGTCCAGGAACTTGAACTCAAGCATCTATTATTACACCTTCGCTTTTCTGCTCAAAGCTGGTGCTCTCCCACCAGAGCCACAGCTCCATTCCTGGCTTTTTGGTGGTTAATCAGAGGTTAGAGTCTCATGGATTTTCTTGCCCAGGCTGCCTCTGAACTGTGATCCTCGCCTCTCAGCCTCCTGTGTAGCGAGGATTACAGATGTAAGCTTGTAGCTGGGCTCTGGCTTCTGTTGTGCTTCAGTTCTGCAATTGGCCTTGTGATTTGTTGAAATAAAGCCTGGCTTACAAGACAAAACATTCATCTTTGGGTTTTGGTGTCGGTTTAAACATGATCTGTTTCGGGCTGGGAAGGTGGCTCAGTGCTAGAGTGGTTGCCTTGGATGCAAGAGACCCTGGGTTCGATTCCTCAGTACCACATAAGCAGAAAAGGTTGGAAGTGGTGCTGTGGCTCAGTGGTAGAGTGCTAACCTTGAGCTGAAGAGTTGAGGGACAGTACCAGGCTCAGAGTGAGTTCAGGCCCCATGACCGACAAAAACAAACAAAAACATAATTTGTCTGAATGGGTTTTTCCAGAAGCAGATGCAGAGGGCGGGCGCTGGCCTGGCTCAGCTGCTTGGCAGCGTCGGATCCCAGGGAGCAGCGCGATGGGCCGCATGCTCAAAACCTGGCCACGGCCGTCAGGCGTGTCCCCAGGCATGGCCAGCCGTGTCCTGCGGGGTGTGGCTTGTTGGTGTGACCCTTGTTTCCATTGCAGATTCGCGTGTTGGGGTCCACAGTCCCGCTGTGCTCCGCGCAGTGGGAGCGGCTGTTTAACACGTGCCGGATCCCAGGGGAGGAGACTGGTGAGTGGGGCGCACGGGGCGGGGCTCCCTGGGGCCACGCCCTCTCTGTCCTGCTCAGGAGGAGGCCAAGGCCCAGAGTGGTCGTCAGGCCCTTCTTTGGGGCCCGGGATGGTGGGCTTGTTTCCAGACTTCCATTTCTCCTCCCTTGTGGGTTAGTAAATCAAGCTAGTATGGGATTTGAACTCAGGGCCTTGTGCTTGTTAAGCCTGCTTGCTCAGAAGATGCTCTATCACTTGAGCCCACCTCCAGCCCTGCTTTTTGCCAGTTATTTTGGAGATGGAGACTCACTGGCTTCCCTGCTGGGCTGGCTTTGGGCCATGATCCTCAGATCTCAGCCTCCTGAGTAGCTAGGATGACAGGCGTGAGCCACCGTACCCGGCTGCCATTCTGCTGAAGGGAGGTCTCAGTGCACACTGGGTCTTGGAGAGCCGGTCCCCTGTGATCCCAAGGGCTAGCCTCGCAGACTGACAGCACTGTGTCACTGTGTGAGGGGATCACTGCCAAAGTTCAGAAGCTCTAGAAAGAAGATCAATTAATCCCACTGCCCGTCTTACAGTTGCGGGCCACAGGGCTCTCCTGGCCTCCTGTGAGACTTTGTCTGTGGCCCCAGGATGCCGCGGCCTTGCCCCAAGCACACTCATCATGCAGCGGGAGGGGCCCTGGGCGCAGCCTCTGGGGGTCACAGTGGGCGTTGCTCAAGACCACTGCCGTGGACGCTCGAGTGATTTTTTTCCAGTGTACCCTCAAGCAGTTCCCCTCCCCCCAGAGTCGTTCGTTTTTCAGATAGGGTCCCATGCTAACTTTCTGGAGCTGTGATTCTCCTCCTTCCTTTGCTTCCTTATTAGTAGCTGGGATTAAAGGTAGGTGCTACCATGCCCCGGCCTAATTTTGTCAATATCTCACTTTTACCTCCGCTGGCTTCAAACAGCAGTCTGCCTGGTGTGGAACACTGAGTATCTATCTGAAAGACCTGCATTCAGGAAAAAAACAAAATACCACACTGCCCATCTATTTTCTTACAAAAAGTACACAAGTTACAGTACCCAGAGGTCTCAATGAGATCCAGATGTCCAGTTAACATTTAAGAAGTTGCTCAAGCCAGGCGCCGGTGGCTCACGCCTGTCATCCTAGCTACTGAGGAGGCTGAGATCTGAGGATCTTGGTTCAAAGCCAGCCCGGGCAAGAAAGTCTGTGAGACTCTTATCTCCAATAAACCACTCAGAAACTGGAAGTGGCACTGTGGCTAAAGCAGTAGAGCTCACCTTGAGCTGAAGAGCTCAGGGACAGCTCCCAGGCCCAGAGTTCAAGCCCACCTCAGTAAGCCTGACTTAGAAAAAGTGAATGAGTGACAGGGTTAGGGTTGGAATCCTAGTTACTCAAGAGGCTGAGAGCGAGAGGATCCTGGTTTGAGGTCGGCCCAGACATGCACAAGAGGGCCCCTTCTAAACCAACAGCCAGGCACTGGCATGCGCTATGATCCCAGCTAAGCAAGAAGTGTAAATAAGAGGATGGTAGTCCATCCTTACTTTTTGGCCAAGGCAAAAAGTAAGACCTTTTCAGAAATAACGAGTGCCAAAAAGGGCTGGATGTGTGGCTCAGTGGTAGTATGCCTGTCTAGTAATTGGGAAGTCCTGAATTCAAATCCCAGAACAACAACAAAACCCCAAAACATGGAGTTCTATCACTTTTTCTTCCAGGCTTTGTGTCTTAACAAGACATTCCCTTTTTCGTGATAGGTAAATAAGCTTGTTTTATTTATGCACTTTGTGTTGTGTGTGCGCGCCAGTTCTAGCGCTTGAACTCAAGGCCTAGGCACTGTCCCTTAGCTTTTTTGACTCAAGGTTAGTGTTCTGCCAGAATTCCACATCCAACACTTGCTGGTTAACAGGAAATAAGAGTCTCAGGAACTTTCCTGCCTGTGCTAGAGCCACGATCCTCAGATCTCGGCCTCCTGAGTAGCTGGGATGACAGGTGAGAGCCACTGGCGTCTGCTACTTAGCAATAATTGATCTCCCTGGACTTGATTTTTCTGTTTCCTGTGAGATACAGATCTGGATTTACGCCGTGGGCGCAGGGAGGGCCCTTCTCACTTCTAAGCATTCCCGCCTCAGTTGTTTGTCCTAGTATGAGACTAAGTAGGAAATTCCAGCATGTGCCAAGGCAAGCGTCCCTGGCGCTTTCCTCTTCCACTTGGGGTAGGTTAGCCTGCCTTGGCATAAGGAGGCGGGGCAGGCTGCCATTCTGACAGCCGGTCCAGCTGTCCAGTGTCATGGTTTAGTTCTCTGTCCTTCTGAGCTCTTTCTTTAGAAAGATCATTGTAATAAAAAAAAATGCTATATTTGCCTGGTACAGTGGTGTGATCATGCCTGTAATCCTAGCTACTCAGAAGGCTGAGATCAGGAGGATCACAGTTCAAAGCCAGTGTAGGCAGGGAAGTTCCCTAGACCCTTTCTCAATCAGTAGCTAGGTGCATTTGTGCACACCTCACTACACGGGAGCCTGGAATCAGGAGGATCAAGGTTCCAGGCCAGTAGGCAGAAAAGTCCATGAGACTGGATCATGATTCCAGGCTGGACGCAGGGCTCAGTGGTAGAATGCCTGTTACTTAGCAAGTCCAGGGCCCCGAGTTCAAGCCCCAGTTCTGCCAAAGAAAAAAATCATCTTGGGAAATTTCCCCAAGGGACGCAGGCGCTGGGGTGGCGTGCTCCCCAGAGCGGAGTGACTCTCCTGCCTGTCCGTAGACACCATCCAGCACCTGAAGGACAGCAAGCACGTGGTGGTGTACCACCGGGGCCGCTACTTCCGGGTGTCGCTGTACCACAGCGGGCGGCTGCTGCGGCCCCGCGAGCTGGAGCAGCAGATGCAGCGCATCCTGGACGACCCCTCGGAGCCGCAGCCCGGGGAGGCCAAGCTGGCTGCCCTCACCGCCGGCGACAGGTACAGGCTCCTTCTGGCCTGTGCTGGGGTGTGGGGCCAGGCCTGTTGATGACGGGGGCAGCCTCAGCAGAAGGGATGTGCGATTCAAGCAGAAGCCTCGCATGAGAGGAGCCCAGGCCGGGCGAGGCCGGGCGGCTGAGTGCACAATCCTGCTTCCCCTGTGTCACCTGTCTCTCCATACTCTGCCCACGGCCGAGGGACCCCACGCGGTCCTGGGCAGGGGGGAGGGGGGAGGGGTGGGCGGTGGCGCCTGGGCTTCCGGGGCTGGCCATGGGGTCCTGGGCGCTTCTCCTGGTCCTCATCCTCCTGGGGATGGGCAGGTGACTCCCGCAGATGATGACCTGTTGTCAGATAAGGCAGTCAGGGGAGTTCTTTCTTTCTGGGGTGCAGGGGATGATACTGAGGGCCTAGTGCAGTTAAGGCAAGCCCAATCTGCAGAGAAGGTTCTTCACGGCCAGCTCCAAGGTAGAAAGGAGAGGATGACTTGCTTTGGGAAGAGAAATTCAGCCAGGCACCCAGCGGCTCACACCTGTAATCCCGGCTGCTCAGAGCGCTGAGAGCTGAGGACCGAGGTTTAGAGCCAGCCCCGGGGAGGAAAGGACCAGAGATTCCTCTCTCCAGTGAACCACCAAAAAGCTGGAAGTACAAAGGTGGTCCCGAGGTTCCTCTCACGACGCTCGATCGTTACCCAGGGTGCCGTGGGCCAAGTGTCGCCAGGCGTACTTCAGACGGGGCAAGAACAAGCAGTCCCTGGACGCGGTGGAGAAGGCGGCGTTCTTCGTGACGCTGGACGAGACAGAGCAGGGGTACAGGAAGGAGGACCCCGTGGCGTCCATGAGGAGTTACGCCAAGTCGCTCCTGCACGGCAAATGTTATGACAGGTACGGTGCTGGCCTGCGGCCCTGGTGTCCCCACGCCTGGCAGCCGTGCCCTGGGCTGGGCGTTTCCCAGCACCGAGGTGCCATCACCGCCGGTGTCCCTACAGGTGGTTCGACAAGTCCATCACCTTCATCACCTTCAAAAACGGCAAGATGGGCATGAACGCCGAGCACTCGTGGGCGGACGCACCCATCGTGGCCCACATGTGGGAGGTGAGTCGTGGCGGGGGATCAAGGCCAGTCCAGGCTGCACTTGAACCCCAGGATGCTTCACTTGTGGAGTAGTCAGAGTCCTGAGCGGGTCAGTACTGCGCATGCGGTCTGGCACTGAAGGGGGAAGGCCCAGGTCGTAGAGTGGGGGGTTCAGTGTTGTGCCCCAGCCGGTCTCCCGCTCCCCACAGCTTCCTTGTTCTCTTCTCACACTTGCAAATATTCCAGCCTTGTTAGCCCAACCCCTCCGCCAGCCCCCACCCACCCACTGCTGATCAGCAGCTTTCACTGAGGCTCTTTACGCTGTGAAAAAGGTTGAAGTTTTTTTTTTTTTTGGGGGGGGGGGGGTGTCCGGTCATGGGGCCTGAACTCTGGGCCGGGGCGCTGTCCCTCAGCTCTTCAGCTCAAGGCTAGCACTCTACCACTTGAGCTACAGCGCCACTTCCGGCTTTTTCCTTTTTGCTTATGTGGTGCTGAGGAATGGAACCCAGGGCCTTCATGCATGCAAGGCAAGCGCTCTACCACAGCCACCTTCCCAGCCCAAATGTTGAAGTTCTTAAAATGATCAGAATATTAAAAAAAAAAAAAAAAAAAAAAAAAACTTTATCTCCCAACCCAGCTTTTTTTTTCCATTTATTTATTTATTCATTCATTCATTCATTCATTCATTCATTTATTTTGGTGGCGGTCCTGGGGTTTAAACTCAGGGCCTGGATGCTGCTGTTAAGCTTTCTTGTTCAAAGCTGCCCCTCTACCACTTGAGTCACAGCTCCACCTCCAGATTTTTGGTGGTTAATTGGAGATAAAAATCTCATGGAGCCAGGCACCGGAGGCTCTCATTTGTGGATTGTGGTTCAAAGCCATCCCAGGCAGGAAAGTCCATGACATTATCTCCAATGAACCACTAGAAACTATAAGTGACGCTGTGGCTCAAGCTTAGAGTAATCACCTAGAGCTGAAGAGCTGAGGGACAGTGCCCAGGCCCAGAGTTCAAGCCCCACAATCGACCAAAAAAAAAAAAAGCTCATGGATTTTCTTGCTGGTCTGGCTTTGAACTGTGCTCCTCAGATCTCAGCTTCCTGAGAAGCTAGGATGACAGGCGTGAGCCACTGGTACCTGACTCCTATCGGCTATTTTATTTTTTATGGTTCTGGGATTTGATCTCAGAGCCTTGAGCTACCCTCACATATTATCGAGTTGGAGGGGAATTTCTGGGTCAGCAGGAAAGATCCTACACCTGGGCTTGGCTTGGCACTGTTAGCGGGGGGGGGGGGGGGGGGGGGCCACTTTGGTCCAGCCAGCTGTGTCAGACATGAATTAGGAGGCACCGGCGGGGGGTCTGTGGTTGGACTGGTTGCTGGGGTAGGGGACCCGTATTCTGTCCCAGAGCTCTGCCGAGAGGGGCCGAGGGGCACTGGGTGGGGGTTTTGTTCAGTCTCTGCCTCTTGTGTTTCAGTTTGTCATGGCCACGGACGTCTTTCACCTGGGCTACGAGGAGGACGGGCACTGCCGAGGAGAGACCAACTCCAGCATCCCCCACCCGACTCGGCTGCAGTGGGACATCCCGGAGGAAGTGAGCAAGGCCGCCCGGGCTGGGGGGGGGGCACCCAGAGAGCTGCTCCCCAGCAGCCTCGAGACCACACATGCTTCACAGCAGAGTGCAAAACCCAGCACGTCGACTCACATTACTCTTCACTTGGTCTGTCTGTCTCTCTCTCTCTCTCTCAGGATTGGATTCAGGATCTCATCCTTGCTGGCGAAAGTGCTCTAGCCCCAATCTATTGAGTTGAAATACTCTTAAATGGCTAACTTAAAATTTTCAAAACTTAAAATACATTTTGTTCCTCTTAGGCCAAGCACCAGTGGCTCATACTTATAATCCTAGCTACTCAGGAGGCTAAGAACTGAGGTTTGAGGTTTGAAGCCAGCCTGGGCAGGAAAGCTTATAAGATTCATCTCCAAGTAACTACCAAAAGAGCTGGAAGTGGAGCTGTGGCTCTAGCAGTAAAGCATCAGCCTTGAGTGAAAAAAAGCTCAGGTATAGCACCCAGGCCCTGAGTTCAAGCCCCAGGTCAGGCACAAAAAAAAAACAAAACAAAAAAAGATTCTTAGACTGATAACTGGGTGTGGGTGGTACATGCCTGTAAACGCCAGCACTCAGGAGGCTGAGGCAGGAGGATTGTACGTTTGAGGCCAGCCTGGGCATATGGCTAGACTGTCTCAAAGACTCTTAGATGCAGCCCATCAAGTAGGAGCCTTCTGGGGAAGGAAGGTTAGTGCAGGGAGCAAGCACCTGGCAGGAATAGTGGGAGACATTTTCACAGCGTACAGTTCCATTGCTGGTACCCCGTAACCCAGGCACTACCAAGAGATGCCACCTCTGCAGAGGACTCAGGCTCTTCCTCCCCACCACACCCCCGCCCGCCCAACCTGTTGCTCAGAACTGCCCCCCAGTGGTTCACTGGATAAATTCATGCGCCCCCGTGACACTTGCCAGGCCATGGTCAACTTGGGGGCCCATGGTGGTGGGTGGGGTGTATGGGATGGGACCTGGGTGATGTCCTGGCCCCACCTCTCAGCATCATCTGCTGCCGCCCCTCCTCCTGCCAGCCCCTCCCCTCTCCTTCCCTCCCCTCCTGGGCCACAGTTCATCTTTCACAGTTTCCCCCTTCCCAGGACATCAGAGTTGGGATCTTACAGGAGTCCTTTCAGCCAGACTTCTGCGATTGACTCTCAGGTCCCTCCATCTCTCTGCCTTTGATTTTTTTTTTTGGTAATAATGGGATTTGAACTCAGGGCAGGTTCTCTAAGGCTAAGCCATGCCTCCAGCCCCTCCCTACTTTGTGCTTTTCTTTTGTGCCAGCCCTGGGGTTTGAACTCAGGGCCTGGGTGCTGTCCCTGAGCTTCTTTTTGCTCAAGGCCAGCACTGTACCACTTGAGCCACAGCTCCTTGGAGATAAAAGTCTCATGGACTTTCCCTGCCTGGGCTGGCTTGGAACTGTGATCCTTAGAACTTAACCTCTTGAGTAGCTAGGATTACAGGCGTGAGCCAGCAGTGCCCAGCTATGCTGGTTATGTTTGTGATGGTATCAGGCACACACCTAGGGGGAGATCGGCTTATGTCAGGCTAACCTGTGTCACTGGGGTCACAGACGTGTCCCACAATGCCCAGCTCCTGCCATCAGGGCAGACTTTCTGCCCAGGCTGGTCTGGAATGGAGATCTTCCAATCCCAGCCCCCCAGGACGACAGGCATACACCATGCCCGACTATGTATGGAGGAGGGTCTCGCTTGTATAAGCCCAGGCTGGCTTTGAACTGCCATCCTCCTGATCTCAGTCTCCCAAGTAGCTTGGACTACAGGCATGAGCCGCTAGTGCCCAGCTCCTCCCAGGTCTGTTGTGGCCCTACAGTTGTTCTGTTTCTTTACTGCATGTTTGTCTCTTCTTCCCTCATCATCTAGCTGCTCAGACTTCCTGTAGGCGGGGTTGTTTGAAGTTCCCTTTGGGGTGTCACAGGAGCTGGCCCTCACCTGCGGGCCCCTTTCTGCTCTCCTCCACTTCTGAGGGGAGAAGGGGTTCTGGAAGGAGCAAGAGGAAACGAGCGCAGCGCGCGTAGGGCGAGCCGGGGAGCTGGCTGGGTGTCCCCCGCTGTGCCAGCGTGCCCACTGAGGATGTGTTGTCTCTCCCGCAGTGCCAGGCGGTCATCGAGACCTCCCTGAACAGTGCCAGTCTCCTGGCCGACGACGTGGACATCCACTCGTTCTCATTCAACGCGTTTGGCAAAGGCTTAATCAAGAAATGCCGGACGAGCCCCGACGCGTTCATCCAGATGGCCCTGCAGCTGGCGCATTACAAGGTGGGCCAGCAGTGGGGTCCATCCTGAGCACTTCCGGGCTGACGTGGCCTGGCCGTATCCCCGCTGGCGTCCGGGAGAGGGCGCTGGCCCTGAAGCCCAGCCCTCCGAGTCTCCATGGGCCCCCACCTGGCTGGCAGCATTCCCGCCATGGTGCCATTGTGACTCTGACTTCTGCTCCGGTCCCAGGAGCAGCCGTGCCTGCAGGAGGCCAGGGCTGCTGGGGGAGATGTCCTGGTGGTGACCGAGGCGCTGACCTAGGCTTGCTGCTGCTGTTGTTTGCTTTTGTGAGACAGGGTCTCTGTGGTGAGCCGGCCTCAAACTTGAGATCCTCTTTCTTCTGGGCCCTGGGATTACAGGTGTGAACCATCACCATGCCCAGCCAGTGTGAGTGGTGTACACACATGCAGTGTCTGGCAGTCTTTGGGGGCTGTGGCTCAGTGCCAGTGGCCACCCAGGGGCCCCACATCCAGGCTGCCTCCTAGCTTCGCTCCCAGGGAGACACTTTATACCAGGCTTTACAGGCGAAGTGTAGAGAGATCTGGAAGACCAGAGATTGAGCAGTGGCCCCAGCGTGGGGAGCGAGGGGCTCTCCTGGATCAGTGTATGATGGGAGTGGGGCACCTGGGGCAGGGACGTGGGGGGTAGAAGCCGAGCGGCGGCAGCTGCCGAGCAGCGGTGGTAGCCTTCCTGCCTCTGCTGCTCCCTCCTGGAGCCCCGGCTGCATGTTGTTGAGGCCTCTCCAGGGCTCTTTCCCAGACACCGGCCTCCTTGGTCCAACTCAGCCCTGCAGCGGCTCTCCCTCTGCCCGCCCCTGCCCTGCATTCCATCTCCCTCTTGGGGCTCTTAGGAAGCCTCCCAGACACCACCTCGTCCCCCTCTCCCTCTGCCTCTCGGCCCCCAGGCTGCTCTGCCCCTTCTGTGGGGGCTCTGTCTGGGCTTCCCTCTGCACACCCTCCCCGGACTCCCTCCCTCCCTCATCCACCCTCCCGCTCCCTCCCCTCCCACGGCTCTGCTGCCCGACACCCCTGCGCCCTTCTGACTGTTTCATGGGGGGTCCTGTGCCCCCACCCCTCCCAAGTGCCACCCTACCTGCTCAGGGCCACGCCTGGGGAGCGTGGAGCATTGGTATGACCCCAGGGTCACTCCCTTCCCCCCTCTCATTCCCCCCCCCCTCTGCCCGAGGGCCTGAGTCCATGGTGAAGTCCACGTCCCGCCACAGGCCTGGCCGCCCTCACGGAGCCTCTCTGCTTCCTCAGGACATGGGCAAGTTCTGCCTCACCTACGAGGCCTCCATGACCCGGCTGTTCCGGGAGGGGAGGACCGAGACCGTGCGCTCCTGCACCATGGAGTCCTGCAGCTTCGTGCTGGCCATGGCAGACCCCACGCAGACGGTATGGTGCCACCAGCCGAGCCGCATGCTGTGCGGCCTCACGCGGGGAGCCCGCGGGCGACACGGGGCCTGTGCGGTTTCCTCACCCGCCTTCTCCCCTCGGCTTCTCCCCCCCCTTCTCTTCCCTCCAACTTCTTCCCCCCGTGCGGCAGGTGGAGCAGAGGCTCAGGCTGTTCAAGCTGGCGTCCGAGAAACATCAGCAGCTGTACCGTCTGGCCATGACGGGCGCGGGCATCGACCGCCATCTCTTCTGCCTTTACGTCGTGTCCAAATACCTGGCCGTGGACTCCCCCTTCCTGAAGGAAGTACGTGGCCCTCGCCCAGTGGGCAGGGGTCTCCGTGCGTTGCTCCTGCCCTGCCAGTCCCAGTGGGCATCCGGCGTGGCTGTGGCGTGGGAGGCAGTGCTGGAGGACTAACCTCCCGACCTACCGGGCACGAGCACTTAGGCAGCGCTCCAATGCGCACAGACACCCACATCTCATTTTGCTGTGTATGTGCCGGTACTGGGGCTTGAACTACTCAAGACCACAAACTCTCACTTGGCTTTTTCTCCTCAAGGCTGGCACTCTACCACTTGAGCCATAGCGCCATTTTGGCTTGTTGCTGGTTTTTAATTGAGCCTCTCTGTCAAGACTGACTTTGAACTGTCATCCTGGGCACTCAGCCTCTTGTGTAGCTAGGGTTACAAGGTGGGCCACCAGAGCTCAGCCTACCTTTGTTTTAAATGATTTCAATGGGGAGTTTACAGACTTTATTTTTATGAATGGACGTGTGTTAGATTGCTCAAGCCTTCCTCCTTCTGCCTTCCAAGGGGCTGAGACTGTAGGCATACACTACCACACTCAACCTCATTCAGCAATTAGACTGTGATCCTAGCTACTCAGGAGGCTGAGATCACAGGATGTGGCACAGGGGTGGCGCCATTCCCCGGCTCGCCGCATGCTCTATCTGGTGGCACACTCATCTTGGAGCCCCTTTCCTGCCTGCTCCTTCTCAGAGCCAGTGTTGTCCTCAGGGACAAAGACTCAGGGTGTCCAAAGCAGCACCCTCAGGTGCAGCCTGGAAGACGGGGTGGGGAGAAGAGCCACTTGAACCTCACCTCCTTCCGGTCCAGGTGCTGTCTGAGCCTTGGAGGCTGTCGACCAGCCAGACCCCTCACCAGCAGGTGGAGCTGTTTGACCTGGTGAACAACCCGCACTACGTGTCTGGCGGTGGGGGCTTCGGGCCGGTGAGTGGTAGGGTGCCGGCCGGGCTCTGAGGGCCGCTGGGTCCTGAGGCATTGCTGCTGGCATGCGTGGCGGTGCCGGTTGCCTTCTGTCCCTCCGGGTCAGCCAGGCTGTCTCTTGTCTGCCTGCAGGTTGCTGATGACGGCTACGGTGTGTCCTACATCATAATGGGCGATAACTACATCCACTTCCACATCTCCTCCAAGCTGTCCAGCCCCGAGACGGTGAGGGAGGAGGAAATCCCTTCTCTTCTTGTGTTTTATGTTGTGCCGGTACCAGGGCTTGAACTCAGGGCCCTTGCATTTTTGCTTGGCTTTTTCATTCAAAGCTGGTGCTCTATCACTTGAAACACAACTGCGCTTGCAACTTTTTGCAAGTTAATTGGAGATTAGAGTCTCATGGACTTTTCTGCCCGGGTTGGCTTCAAACTACCATCCTCAGATCTCAGCCTCCTGAGTAGTCAGGATGACAGGCGGGAGCCGCTGGCAGCTGGCTTTCACTTGGCTTTAAAGACGTAGATTTAGTTCCATATGGCTGCCTTTGCTGTAGCAGCAGTTTTAAACCTAAATGCGCACATGCATCCATGGCTTTCTAAACATGTGACATTGGGAAGACAGACCCTGGACCTCGTGACGGAGCAGGTGGCCTCCCGCCTTGCAAGCACATTTAATTCATACTTTATTTATGGGCCTATCTTTTCTTCTTCTTCCCACATTGTCCATCTTGTGACAAGTAATGCCAAAGTTTGCAGGGTTTTTTTTCAATTTTATTTTACTGGATTGTATTTTATTGTAAAGGCGATATTAGCGTGGTTACATAGGTAAGGTAACGAGTACATTTCTTGTGGAACATTGTTACCCCTCATTTTCTCCTACTTCCGCTCCCCTGTCTATCCTCCACCCAGTTTTTTGTTTTACAAAAAGAATAGTTTAGGCTGGCTACGTGGTTCATGTAGTAGAATGCCTCCCTAGTGAGTGCAAGACTTTGAGTTCAACTCTTGGTGACACACACACACACACACACACACACACACACACACACACACACACACACACACACACACACACACACACCAATTCTGTATGCTGTGGCTCATGCCTGCCGTCCTACTTGAGAAGCTGAGATTGGGGGAGTTCATGATATTGGGCAGCCAGGGCAAAGAGTTAGTGAAACCCTACCTCAAGTGGTTGACAGCCGCGGCAGGTACCGAGTGCCAGTCTTCCCTGCCACCGTGGACACAGAGTAAATAGAGAACTTTGGCTCAGCCTGGCCTGAGCATAAATGTGAGGCCTTGTTATAAAAACAAAAAGCCGGGCATTGGTGGCTCACACCTATAACCATAGCTTCTCAGAAGGCTGAGTGCTGAGGATCGCAGTTCAAAACCAGCCCAGGCAGGAAAGTCTGTGAGACTCTTACCTCAAAGTAACCACCAGAAAACAGGAAGTGGCACTGTGTCTCAAAGTGATAGAGCACTAGCCTTGAGCAAAAGAATTCATGGACAGCACCCAGGCCCCGAGTTCAAGCTCCATGACCAACAAAACAACAATAAGACCCAGATTCTGAAATTGAAACCCCTTGTACATTTAAGGATAACTAAATAAACCCTGCAGCAAAAGGGGCTGGAGGTGCAGCATAAGTGTTCTCTAGTTCCTGCCTAGCGAGCATAAGGCCCGGAGATCCAACCCCATTTCCTCCAAAAAGAGAATGGGATTTATCCTAGATGCAGAATTTTGTGGGAGGGGCTTAGAGAACGGGTGGAGGGGAGGAGCTCACCGCTAAACACAGGCAGGCAACATTCCTAAAGAAACACTTCTGGTCCTTGGGAGGCTGAGGTGGGAGGATTGCAAATTGGAGCCTCGGCTACACATCAAAACCATGCAACCACAAAAAAGTCCAACACAAAAACTAGTTGTTGATTGAGTGACATGCCGCGTACCTGTGGCCAGCTCAGCCCGCTCTGAGGGACAAGTCCCTCTCCTGGTGTCAGGCCAGGGTCCTCCTGGGTCCTCAGGCAGGAACTGACCCCGACTGCTCATCTTAGTGGGGACCGGAGCACCCAGACTCCTGAGAACCCAGGATCTGCCTGTGGCTTGCTGCTTTCAGAGCGGACAGTGCCCACGTTGTAGCCACAGGAGCCGCCAGGTATGCAGGGGGCTGGCGGCTTGGATCTGTTGAGGGGTGAGAGCTGCAGTGACCTGCGCGGGAGCTCTGCGCACGTGGGCAGCCAGGGTTCTAGAGATGGCCCCAACCCTTCCCCAGGAGAAAGTCAGGGCTGCCCGCCCCCTCCATCGGCATCCCCTGTTCCCTCCGTTACTTCTCGCTCTTGAATCTGCAGGCCAGGTTCTGGAGCATGTGCGTAAGAAACTGCTAGTCGGGCGTTGCTGGCAGCTTGGAGGTTTAGGTTCACGTGGGGCGGCCTGGGTAGTCACAGAGGTCAAGGTCAGGTACAAGGCGGGTACCTCCGTGCATCATGGGCAGCTCAGACAGGGCCAAGTTCACAGGTGACAGAGCACATGGAATCTGGGGGTTCAAACCACAGGTCACCTGTGAGGTCTCACTCCCCCTCCCCCCATAGGGTCTCACACAACTTTGCCAGCACTAGCCTCGGTCTGCAATCCTCCTGTCTCCACCTTCCCAGATTACAGGTGTGCAGCACCGCGCCGGCCTGGATTTCTACATCTTGATGTGTTTTTGCTTTCTGTGTTTAAACCAGGATTCTCACCGCTTTGCAAAGCACCTGGGAGAAGCCATGACAGACATCCTCAACTTGTTTGGGCTCACACCTAATTCCACAAAGTAATCCCACTAGGCCACGGCGAGGGGAAACTGCGTGGCCTCCACCAAATGAAGAGTAGGCATCATCCTGATCCTAGCTCGGGATGAAAAAAACAAAAACTTCTCCTTCCAGAAAGCGTTGGCCGTCTCTCCCTCGCGTGGGAGCCCCACTGTGCGAAGCGCAGCCCTCCTGCTTCAGGGGCATCCCGAGGCCGGCATGGGCTCGTCCTTAGTAGGGCTGCAGCTTCGCACACGGAGGGAGCAGACGCTGCTGGTGTCGGCGGTGCTCTCAGCGCTGCCCACGGCGGGGCGCTCGCGAGATCCGTCCTTCCCGGCCCGTGCCACCATCCGTCCGCCTTTGCCATGTTTGGAACAAGCGGTGGCCATGTCTGTCCAGTTACTGACCCTGCACATTTTCAGAACCCAGTGCCTTAAAGACTGAGGCGGCGTGGCGTGAGGTCTTTGGTGGGGGCGGGAGGGAGTCCTGCTCCTTTCTCCCACCCTAGAGGGCCAGGTCCCTCGTGGGGACCGCGCTGCTGGCAGCCAGACACAGGACAGATGTGTGTCCGGCGTCCAGGACACACAGGCTGGGGACCTGGCTATGGGATTGGTGCCATGGGTGCATGCCGCGGGGCTGGCGTGACGATGGCCAAGAACTTGAGGGCGCAGGGCACCCTGACATCACACCTGGTCCATGGCGGCCGCCCTCATGTCTCCATGGCGGGGCCAGTGGCGGTAACATGGTAGTGACATGTCCCTGGTCGCAGTGACTGGTGCTAGGCCCGCAGCTCCCTGTCCCAGGAGTGCCTTTCGCCAGCAGGCCTGAGTGGCCACAGGGCAAGCCACGCACTGAGTTCCCTTCAGTATTCCATGTCGCCCCGCAGCTCCCATCACAGGGACATCCCCACGCCCCGGCCCGTGGTGACACGCTTCGCTGGCCTCTTCGTAAGTGGTGTATTTATTTTTCCCAGCCCTGGCCTGGTCCTCGCCGGCTTCGTCCCTTGTTGCTCCCACAGCTGCAGGAAGTGAGAGATGCGTGTGTCTTGGGGACAGCAGTGTGGTAAAACCCAGCCCCAGAGGCCCAAAGATCCTTTTGCTCTCAAAAGCAAGGATGAAATCAAAAGGCAAAACCGAGAAACCCCGGCAGCAGCGACGCTCCCACGCCTGGTCCTGTGTGGTGGACGTCCAGGCAGGGTGTGGGGGAAATGACCCCCCTGTGCCCCGGGAGAGAGGTGCCAGCCAGCGGGACACCTCATCAGAGCCACAAGTCAGGCGCTGGTGGCCAGTGGCCGATCTGCCCGCGTGTGCAGGCGAGGCTGCGCTTCGCTCAGGTCTCATGTCCCCAGCGTCTCCGTGGCTCATCCCGCAGTTATCAATGCAATTTTCTATTCCTTAAGAGGGAGAGTGGGTTTTTATTGTATATGTGGGAAGGGGGAGGTAAGAGTATCATGTATTTTAATTTGGAACAAACTAGTCTTACTGCAGCCATGGCTAGAATTCACTACCTTAGTCGGTCCATCGCATGTAAATACCATGTGCTCTTCTGGTATAAGTCTTAGAAACGCACACTGTGAGTAGGCAACCCTTAATAAAGCACTGTCTGTCTACTATGTTATTGTTCTGGGTGCCTTTGTCAGGGACCAGCCTCCAATCAGGAGGAGAACTATTAAAAGGAGGAGGGAGCCTGTGGACTGTTAACTTGTATCACTCACCTTCCTTTCTCCAGTGCCTGGCACATAGTAGGTGCCTAATAAACAGTGCTGCTGTATCTTAGTCATTTGACTTACTTAGTCTGCCTCCTTCCCCACCCCCAGGCTTCAGGCTGGTTAAGAAAGCACTCTGACTCGGAGCCATGCCTCCAGCCCGTGTGTGTGTGTGTGTGTGTGTGTGTGTGTGTGTGTGTGTGTGTGTGTGTGTGTGTGTGTGTGTGTGTGTGTGTGCGCACTCTGACTCGGAGCCATGCCTCCAGCCCGTGTGTGTGTGTGTGTGTGTGTGTGTGTGTGCATGTGTGCACTCTGACTTGGAGCCATGCCTCCAGCCCGTGTGTGTGTGTGTGTGTGTGCGCGCGCGCGCGCGCGCGCACATTCTGTCTTAAACTCAAGGCCTAGGTGCTGTCTCTGAGTTTTGCTCAAGGTTAGTGTTTTACCACTTGAGCCACAGCTCCACTTCCAATCCTCAGATATCAGCCTCCTGAGTATCTAAGATTACAGGTGTGAGCCATCATTGTCTGCCTTGTGCTAGCTATTTGATAGGGTCGCATGTCCTACCCAGTCCAGCCTGGACTGTGATTCTCCTATTCTTTGCTCCCCACCATCTACCATCGCTGGGATAACAGGCATGCAGCACTACTCTCAGTTTCTTCCATGGAAATGGACTTTTTTTTTCTTTTTCCTTGGTGCTAGTCCTGGGGCTTGAACTCAGGGCCTGGGCAACTGTCTCTGAGCCTTTCTGCTCAAGGCTAGCACTCTACCACTTGAGCCACAGTTCCACTTCTGGCTTGTTAGTGGTTAGTTGGAGATCAGAGTCTCATGGATGTTACTGCTTTGGGCTAGCTTTGAACCTTGATTCTCAGATCTCAGCCTCCTGAGTAGCTAGGGTTACAGATGTGAGTCACTGGTACCCAGCAGAAATGAATGTTTATGCCCCAGCTGGTCTTGAATTGTGATCCTCCCAATCTCAGCCTCCCATCCAGCTGCTATAACAAGTGTATACCACCCTCCTCCAGCTATAGATGGAGATAGGATCCTTAACTTTTTTATTTGTCTAGGCTAGTCTCAAAAGAGTTCAAGGCTAGACCAGGCAAAGTTTGAAGACCCTGTCTCAAAAACAATAGAGAACGGCTAGGAGTATGGCTCAAGTGGCCTTGAGTCTATCCTTATCACCACAAAACAAAACCCTAAGAGAAAAGCTCAAAGGTCAAGGAAGGGTTTGTCTAGTCCTGCTTTCGTCTCTGGGGGCTTCAGTTTCCCCACCCTAAGCAGGAGCAGAGTTCTTCATCTTCACCCTGTAAGGCTACACCCCTTCCTCCAGCCCCGCCCCATGAGCATAGCCGCTTATACACATCCCCACTCACGAATCCTGGCCCTGCCTCCGAACTTCTGCCCTGTCCCTCCTCCCGGCTCCTCCCACCAATGATTCCCTGCCACTGCCTCTTCCCTTTTCCAGGCTCCACCCGCCAGACTCCCTGGCCCTGCCTCTACCCTGGAAGACTCCGCCCCTTCACCAGGCTCCTCCCGCCACTGCTTCCTGACCTGCCTCTTCCCTTCTCCAAGCTCCTCCTACCAATGATTCCCTGCCCTGCCTCTTCCCTTCTCCAGGCTCCTCCCACCAATGATTCCCTGCCCCGCCTCTTCCCTTCTCCAGGCTCCTCCCACCAATGATTCCCTGCCCCGCCTCTTCCCTTCTCCAGGCTCCTCCCACCAATGATTCCCTGCCCCTGTCTCTTCCCTCCTCCAGGCTCCTCCCACCAGACTCCCTGGCCCTGCCTCTACCCTGGAAGACTCCGCCCCTTCATCAGGCTCCTCCCTCCACTGCTTCCTGACCCGCCTCTTCCCTTTTCCAGGCTCCTCCCACCAGATTCCCTGGCCCTGCCTCTATCCTGGAAGACTCCGCCCCTTCTCCAGATTCCTCTCACCAATGGTTCCCTGTTCTGACATAGACTCCGCCCCTGTTCTGACACAGGCTCCGCCCCTTCCCTTCTCCAGGCCCCTCCGCCACCGATTCTCTGTCCCCGCCCCCATCCCGTGCCAAGGCCCCGCCCCTTCCAACCGTCGACGGTCGGTCGTCCAGTCGGGCTGCCTTGCCTGGCCACAGCGTGGACGCAGCTGCAGCCGGTCGGCCAGGTGCGTCCCTGCAGCGGCCCGGGCGGCCCAGGTGTGGCTCTGAGGCGGCCCCGGAGTCCCCTGAGCGACCCAGGGCCCGGCCATTCCCTGAGGCGGCCCGCTGTCCTAGCCCGAGTGCCTTGAGGAGACCCAGGTGTCCGCTCGGGGCCCCGGAGCCCGGAGGCGGCCCCCGTCCCAGGTCCGGAGCCCGGAGGCGGCCCCCCACCCCCGGCCCGGCCCGGCCCGTCCCAGGCCCGGCGCTAGGAGGCGCCCCCACCCCCGGCCCGGCCTGGCCCGTCCCAGGTCCGGAGCCCGGAGGCGGCCCCCCACCCCAGTCCCAGCTCGGGGCCCGGAGGCGGCCCCCCACCCCAGTCCCAGCCCGGGGCCCGGAGGCGGCCCCCCACCCCAGTCCCAGCCCGGGGCCCGGAGGCGGCCCCCCACCCCAGTCCCAGCCCGGGGCCCAGAGGCGGCCCCCCTTCCCAGGCCCGGCGCTAGGAGGCGCCCCCACCCCACCCACGGCCCGGCCCGGCCCTGAGCCCGGAGGCGCTCCTCCCCCCCACCCCACCCCACCCCCGTCCCCGCCCGGGCCCGGAGGCGCCCGCCCCGCGGCGGCCCTCGGTGTGGAGTGGTCGCCCGGCTCACGGCCGCCCGCTCTCCCGCGCAGGTGCGCCGCCCGCCCTCGCCAGGGAGCTGGGCGCGGGGCGATGCGTGGCCATGGAGGAGACGTCCCTGCTGGGCGCCATGCCGGGCCCCGACGATGAGATGGTGACGGAGCTCTTCAGCGCCGAGCGGCCGTTCGCGCCCGACGGCCTGGCGCTGAGCCCGGCCGTGGTGGTGAAGTCGGAGCAGGACGAGCTGCCCGTGCTGGCCGACGCCTACCTGGGCGCCGCCGACCCCGGGGATCCGCTGCTGCGCGCGCTCAGCCCCCCCCCGGGCGCCGACGGCTCGGCGGACCTACCGGCCGCGCTCCTCGGGGACCTGGCGGGGCTCCCCGAGCTCCGCGCCCCGGACGAGGCGGCGCCGCCGCCCGCCTACAGCGTGCACGTGCTGTCGTCGCTGCTGCCCGCGGCGCGCGGCCCCGCGCTGCTGCCGTTGGCCGCCGGCGTGCGCGTGATCCCGGTAAGAGCCGCCTCCCACACAGGGGTGCGGGGACGCCCTAGACGGCAGGGCGGCCTCGTCCACCCCTGCCCCCTGCGAGCCACGGGGCTCAGGCGCAGAGCTGGCCCTGCTGGAGGTCAGATGTGTGTCAGAGGTTTGGATTCTGGTGCCTTCCATCCCATGCTGGGGGCAGGGAGGAAGGGGGGGAGGACCTGGGCCTCAGGCATACCAGGCAAGCACCCTGCCCTGCCCTGCCCTGATGGGGCTCCGAGTCGTGGGATTTGCCCCTGCCCTGGTATGGCAGTGTTGGGGTCCTGGCTGCTGGTGACAGGTGCGTATGGGATAGTGGTCAGCTGGATACATGGTCGCCTTGGGTAGCCACCAAGCACTTCCTGCTTTCCAGTTAGCCCCACTGAAAGGAAAGCAAAAAGAACAATGTAAATTGGTCCTCCTAAATTTAGGATCCCCAGAAAGATGGAAATTTAGATTCTTCATCCATTCAAGTGTTTCCATAAGCTCTTGGCGTAAGACTTTGTGGGAAATTTTTGAGTTGGTGCTTAGAGGCTTGGGGCTTGAAAACCAGAAAAGCTGAGAGATTGGGACTTTTGCACCTCCTAAAATCCCAATCACTACTTCTTAGTGTACTGGGAAAGTTGGACAAAGGTGCGCCTCCTCCAACCTCAGTTTGTCCATAGAACCTCCAACCTCATCCCAGGGCAGAGGACTTGAACTCAGAGCCTGGTCACTATCCCTGAGAGTTTTTGCTCAAGGTTGGCAGTCTACCACTTGAGCCATAGCTCCACTTTTTTAAAATTTGGACACAACACTCAAATTTGAATTTTCTGGGCTATGCAGCTGCAAAAGACAATGTCTAGGTATCCTCTGAAACAATCACTGCTTTGTGCCTTTCAGGTTGAAATAAAGGAAGCTGGTGGCACTGTTGCAAGTAACAACCCAGAGGAGGCAGCTTTTCAGAACCCTCTGGCTCAGGAATCCTGCTGCAAGTTCCCTTCATCCCAGGAAGCAGAGGACACCTCCAGCTGCTCTCGCAAGAAGGATTCCAGCCCGATGGTAACTAAGCCTGCCAGTAGCCACTTGCTGCCTCTCATTGGCTTCCTTGTTGGGTCACACTTGGGTTGTCATCTGGTGCTTTTCACCCCTAAGGTTCTATTTCCACTCAGCCGTAGCAAGTTGGGAGAGGTTTAGAGCTCTACTGAACATAAGGAGAGTAACCACAAGTCATATTAGTCTACATTGTGTGGTTTGCTGGCTTCTGGACAGAAGCCCCATTCTCCCTTCATGCCTCTGGAGTTCTTCTACCAGTAGCTCATATAGGTACCTCTGAGCGTATATATGTTTACAACTGTGGTACGTCATTTCATCCTCCTAGCGGGCAGGCATTAATTTTTATCCCCATTTCATGAGCCAAAGCAACAGAAATGTGACCTTGCCTGCGTTTGTCTTCGTTCTAAGTGGTGTGTCCAGAGCACCAGAGTCACTGCAGTGAGGTCTAGGCCTGAACTGTCAGGGAACCCCCTCCATACTCCTGTAGCAAATTGTTAGAAGTCCACACGCCAGTGAGCACCTTTCCTCTCACTCCCTTTCTTTGTTTCAGTCTTGGATCTGGGCACTGTCCTTGAGCTTTTGGCTCAAGACTAGCACTCTACCACTTCAGCCACAGCTCCACTTCTGGCTTTTGCTGGTTACTTAAAAGATAAGAGGCTCAAGACTTCCCTGCCCAGGCTGGTTTTGAACTGCAGTCCTCAGATCTCAACCTCCTGAATAGCTAAGATTACAAGTTGGAGCCATCATTATCTAACCCTCCCACACTTCTTCATTTAGAGAATGAGATCCTGGCTCTAAGGCAGAGGTGATACTCAGGAAGTTCTTGAAATGAGCTCTCCCTCCTAAATTTGGGTTGTCTGTTAATGTGAGCAGTGGAGTGAAGGACAGGACAGAGAAGCTCTTGAATGCCAGCTGGTCCTTGAACTAAGTCTCAGTAGTCAGATCACTGTGGAGGAAGACAGGAGAAGGAACTTCTGTTCGCCTGTGGAAGGAAACACTGCTGGAGGATTTTTAGGGAGCAGTTAATGTTATTACAGAAGAAGAAATCAAGAACAAAGCTGTAGTTTTCTTTCTTACCCTCAGACGTAAGTCCTGCATGAGAACTTGTTTCTCAGGCATTCGTTTATGTAAGTTTGCATTTCTTGACTGACGAAAACTGATGGTTGATTTCATTTTAGGTGATTTGTCAGCTGAAAGGGGGCACCCAAATGCTGTGTATTGACAACTCTGGCGCCAGAGAGCTAAAAGCACTTCATCTGGTTCCTCAGTATCAAGATCAAAATAATTATCTACAGTCAGGTATGGAGTAATGAATGAAAGTTATCATTTATCATGTGGTAATCGGTGAGTGAATATGTTTGGCTTTTGCTTAGAATGAAAGTAAAAGAGAGGAGAACGCCTTTCTTTCTTCATGGACTCAGGAGCATGAGGTCTATAGCACTGTTAGCATCTCAGGACTTCACAGAGCCCATAGTTTGGTCCAAGAAGTTTAGTAAGTATATGCCCACAACTTAGAATCCATTCCAAGAAAAGCAGGCACATGAGTTGAAAGTAGTGCACATAGTGTCCAACAGCTGTCACTGGGCTTTCTTTAAAAATATAAAATGCCCAGGACCCACTAGGGTCTTGGTAAATTTTTGTAGCCTTCAAAGGGCACCTTAGTATTCAGTTTGGAAATATAGGTACTAATAGCATTTTTTAGCATAGCAGACTCCTGTGGAAGCTCAGGTCAAATAGGTTTATGCTGAAAGAACAACATAAAAACACACTGACCTGAGGGCTGGGAAGGTGTCTCAGTGGTAGAGCGCTTGCCTTGCATGCATGAGGCCCTGGGTTCCATTCCTCAGCACCACATAAGCAGAAAAAGCCAGAAGTGGCGCTGTGGCTCAAGTGGTAGAGTGCTAGCCTTGAGCTGAAGAGCTGAGGGACAGCGCCCAGGCCCAGAGTTCAGGCCCCACAACCGGACCCCCAAAAAAAAAAATACAAAAAATAGAACTATAATGCTTGAATACCTTTGTACATGATAAATCTATAATAAGCTGCTATACTTTCTTTCACATGTGTATGGAAGAGAAGGAATATATGCTATCAATAACTTTAACTGTCTTCCTTACAGATGTCCCTAAGCCAATGACTGCTTTGGTAGGAAGATTTTTGCCACTACCAGCAAAATTAAATCTCATTACACAACAAGTGAGTCATTGTTTAAATATAAAACTATATAGTGTTTCTTGAAATTTCAATTGTTGCAGTTGAAATAACTCAAGAACATTCTTCATCCTCTAGCTAAAAGTCAACGGTAGGGGCTGGGAAAGTGGCTCAGTGGTAGAGTGCTTGCCTCATATGCATGAGGCCTTGGGTTCCATTCCTCAGCACCACATAAGCAGAAAAAAGCCAGAAGTGGAGCTATGGCTCAAGTGGTAGAGCGCTAGCCTTGAACTGAAGAGCTGAGGGACAGCGCCCAGGCCCAGAGTTCAGCCTCCAAGACTGACCAAAAAAAAAAAGTCAACAGTAAAAAATTTATCCTGTACTGGGTTCTTTCATCCCTGTGCTAGACTCTGGGCAAGGGAGTCATTGTAGCTGTGTATCTTGGCCACACTATGGTCCACGTTACCTTTCCTTTGGTCTGCAGGTCTCTGCCTGCCTGCTGCTGGCCTTGTGCTTGTGCTTGTGCTACAGTCACCTCCTCAGGGTTATGCACATGCATTTTTGTGTGCACACACCAGTACTGAGGTTTGAACTTACTGTCTCGTAGCTTTTTCACTCAAGGCTGGCACTCTACCATTTGAGCCACAGCTCCACTTCCAGTTTTCTGGTGTTTAGAGATAAGAGACTCTTGGAATTTCCTGCCTAGGATGTCTTTGATATGGTCCTCAGATCTCAGCCTCCTGAATAGCTAAGATTACAGGTGGGAGACACCAGTGCCTAACCTGAGCATCTGTTTGATTGTTTGTTTTTATTGGTCATGGGGCTTGAACTCAGGGCCTGGGAACTGTCCCTGAGCCTCTGTGCTCAAGGCTAGTGCTCTACCACTTTGAGCCACAGTGACACTTCTGAGTTTTTGAGTGGCTAATTGGAAATAAGAGTCTCACAGTGATTTTTCTGCCCAGACTGGCTTTGAACTGCAATCCTCAGATCTCAGCCTCCTGAATAGCTAGGATTGCAGGCATGAACCACGAGTGCCTGGCTGGACATGTGTTTTTAAAGTTTGCTTTTATCATTACATCATTGTAGGCCTACAGTATGTTCCACTAGAAGATGAATATGCCATGTCACCTCTCTAAGAAAGTGTGACAGCCAATTACTGTCATGGCACCTGCCTCAAGTTTACCATGCGCTGTTGGTACCTTAGTTTTTTGGTTGATTTGTCTGCATCTACCCATAAGAATGCAGGCTGTGCCAAGGGCTGGTGGCTCACGCCTGTAATCCTAGCTACTCAGGAGGCTGAGATCTGAGGATCTCGGTTCAAAGCCAGGCCCGGGCAGGAAAGTCCATGAAACTCTAATCTCCAATAAACCACCAGAAAACCGGGAGTGGCACTGTAGCTCAAGTGGTAGAGCACTAGCCTCGAGCTGAAGAGCTGAGGGACTGCATTCAGGCCCAGAGTTCAAGCCCCACGACCAACAAAAAAAACAAAAACAAGAATGCAGGCTGTGAGCTGGGAAGGTGTCTCAGTGGTAGAGCGCTTGCCTTGCATGCATGAGGCCCTGGGTTCAATTCCTCTGCACCACATAAGCAGAAAAAGTGGGAAGTGGCGCTGTGGCTCAAGTGGTAGAGCGCTAGCCTTGAGCTGAAGAGCTGAGGGACAGCGCCTAGGCCCAGAGTTCAGGCCCCACGACCGGACCAAAAAAAAAAAAAAAAAAAAAAAAGAACGCCAGACTGTGTGGAAGTGCAGTTTCTGCACTTCCTACCTCTTTAGGTAGGTCTTTCCTACCTCTGTAAGCTACACTTGGTGCAAGCCCTTGGCACATAGGGCATTCCGACACTCTGCCACAGGGCAGGCCTGTCTGAGGTATCAGTAAGCCAAGTGACCCCCAAAGGAAACAGAATGCCCTTGACCTGCAGAGCTTACATTTTAGTGCAGTTGACAAATTGTATGGTACATAGGGAGGGCCTGGAGTGGAGGAGGGCAGGCGACTGCAGTTCCTGAGGCCTGTAGCCAGAAAGGTCTGTGAAACCATCTGGGGTTGTGTGCTCACACGTTAGTGCATTTGTAGTGCCAGCAAGAACTGAGCTGGCTATAAAGGATTATGGCATAAACCTCTAGATGAAAAAGAATCATTTTAACTCTACATTGGGATTGGCTGGCACTTTAAGTAAGCATGCTAATAGAAAACATGTTTGCCTTTGACTTTGTACAGCTTGATAACGGAGCCCTTCCATCAGCAGTCAATGGGCCTGCTTTCCCCTCAGGACCAACCCTGCCAGGACCACCCAAAATAACTTTGGCTGGGTAAGGATTAAATGCAATCAATTGTAACTTTTTTTAAAGAGGCTAAGTTGCTTTTGTGTACTTGGGATTTCTTTCTGTACTGTAGAATTAGCCTCACCTGTAAATCTTCCTTGATCCAGAAAGGTTAATTTCCCCTGAGCAGTGTTGCTGGCAAGCTACATGCCTGTATGTTGGCAGCTGAAAGGCCAATCTGTACCTGCTGTCCTGGGCCGGTGGTTCAGGGCTGGTGACCACTTGTAGCTGTGTCTTGGTTTCATGTGGATTCCAGCAGTGCTGGTCTGTTCCATTTTTTGTGGTCATCAATGCAAGTTATGCAGCACCAGCTGCTTAATGTGGAGTCTCCAGAGCTGCTTCTGCCCAATCCCTTCTGTGCGGAGAGCCAGCCCCTGCTTGTGGCAGGGTCGCTGCTCGGCCTGTTCTCGTAGCTCCAGGTGAACATGGGCTGCACTCAGCCAGGACCTTGCCTTGCCATTTCAAAGTTGTATTGATAACTTTATGTAACTAATTAAACTAACCACACTGGTTGGAGCACTGCTGTGTTCATGTTCATGTACAGTGTTGGCCTCTAGAGATGAGTTGGGCCACAGTCGATGCTGGTGTGAAGAGAGACACCAGGCAAGCTCTTGTGAAATGTGACATGAGGGCCCCTAGTACCCTGTCCTGGCCATGTTCGGTGTGAGGCTAGACGCATCAGGGGCTGGAACAAGTGAGCCAACAGTCATCCACAGGACTCTGGGGCTCTAGGGCTCTGGAGACAGACAGGAGTTGAGTCCACACTATGGCCTCTGGTATCGCGGGGACCTGCTGCTACGTGAGTTTTAGGAGTGGTTCTTTCAGCTGGCACAGTGCTGTGTCTGAGGACTTTGAGTGAATGAGCTGGGATGAGAATGCAGAGCCACACTTGCTTCACTTCAGCGTCACGACGGGGACGCTATAGTTGCTATGAGGTCATCATAGATGTCATCTCACTGTGCTTGTTAGCGTTTCTGGGTGAGACAAGGGTGTCCTAAACCGATGGCGTCCTAAGCACCCCGCTGGTGGTGCTGTGTGTCTGGCTGCAGAGTGGTCTGAGGTGTCAGGACCGCGCGATGCTCCTTGTGACTTCCTTGTAATCTGGGCCATGTGGTCATCTGTGCCGTACCGCCACGCGCTTCATCGTGTCTAGAACATTCAAGAGAACTTAGTGCTCTCACGCTGTGCCCGCTGAAGCTTAGCCATATCGCAGTTAATGTGCATTTCCACAAAGGAACTCTTTCCTTGGCAGCATATTGTTTCTTTTATCCCTGTCCACTTTTCACATATTTTTATTTTTAAGTAGTTCTGGGCCTTTTACAAAATGTGTCAGGAACAACATAGTTTTATATTTGTATAATTTTGCTGGGACCAAATACTTGAGTCACCATCCCACTACTGAATCTCAACATCCCTAATACTGATAGCATGCTAGAACCATATGTGACCCATAAGAAGAGGCAGCCAGAGAATGTTGAGTGGCTTTGTTTCATTCCCTAGGAGTTTCTAATCAGGAGTACTTAATAAATGACCTCCTTTTCATAATGCTTCTTTAGCCCTTGTGAGACTTCTGCAAGATAACAGGGTCAAACTACATCTACCAGAAAGGAAACTATCAATCAGGAATGGATCCAGCATATCTAAGCTATTAGATAACACAGAAGCAGCTTGGTTGGGCCTTATGGTGAACCGTATGGGTTGACCCACTCATTCTCAGAGTTGCGTGGCCACTGACTAAGTTATTAACCATTTATCATCATTTTACTAAAACCTCTTGGAATAAAAATTCATTTCCTATTGCTCTGATTATCAGTCAGATAATGAGTATGAATCATGATGTGTGGTTGATACTATTACTTTGGGTAACATACTGAATATCATAATAAAGAAGACGAGCCCAAGTCTCTGGATTGTTTTTTCTTTAAAGATGAACTTATATCTTGCCTTAGTATAATTTATTTATAATACTGCTCTGAGGCAGGGTTTTCAAGGTCTTTTTTTTTTTTTTCGGGTCCAGTCGTGGGGCCTGAACTCTGGGCCTGGGCGCTGTCCCTCAGCTCTTCAGCTCAAGGCTAGCACTCTACCACTTGAACCACAGCGCCACTTTCAGCTTTTTTCTTTTTGCTTATGTGGTGCTGAGGAATCGAACCCAGGGCCTCATGCATGCAAGGCAAGCACTCTACCACTGAGCCACCTTCCCGGCCCCTTTCAAGGTCTTGATTAATCCTTCTACTCTTTAATTTTTAGCTTACAGGATAATCAAGTTATTTAGAGCATGCAAGTTTTTGCCACCTAATTTCCACCGCAGCCCACAGGTCCCCTGCCCGAGCTTCGTGTTCTCGGTTCCTTCTTCATGTTACCTCTCTGTTCAGACGTCCTTGTAACTACCAGCAGCAAGGCCCACAACTGTAGTCATTAGCGTCGAAGTCCACCTCTTACCACAGCAGTTCTCTTTAACCACTTTCATCGTGTCAAACTTCCTGCCTCTGAACATCATTTCAGTTATAGTTCTCAGAAACCAGTTTGACAGTGGATCATATCCTACATTATGTTCTCCTACTTTTCAATTGTATATGTCTCATGCCCCCATTATTAAGAGCCTCTTTCAAGATAGATGCTCTGAGTGAAGAAGATATTATTTCTGGTGTCCTCTGAAGCATTTATCACATCCTGGCCACAAGTTGTCTCTTAGTCAAAGAATCCTGGTTCTCCTGCCCCTGCAGATGCTCCCAGGGTCCTCCCTGTCAGCAGTGCGCAGAGCCTCCCCATAGCTAGACCTGTATTCTCAAGGAAGGGCTTTGCTTCCTTTGCATCGGAAGCACCAGGCTGAGCTGTGCCCAGCTTAGGACAGGTCTGAGAGGGCTGAGGGCAGTTTCAGAGCCTGTCTGGAACAGGCCCAGGTCTGCCTCACATGTGCAAATGCAGGCCCGCTGCCTCCAGCACCCATGAGGACATAGAACCAATTCAGAGGGATCCGTCTATTGTAAATGCAATGCAGCATTTACAGACATGATCTTGAAAATGGGAATTATCCCCAGAAGTAACCACTAACAAGTCTGCTCATGGATCAAGTGCCTCACTGTTTACATCTGGGTGGATATGTGTGTGCAGGCGCATGCACGCCATGTGAAAGAGACAGAGACAGACTGAACAGGCACAGACTGAGACAGGGATGGAAGACGAAAGGCTTGCACAGGTGGAGTCCATGGCGGGGCGGAGCAGCGAGGAGGAGAGTGGGAGGCTTCATGGAGACCAGCGTGGAATGCAGGGGCCCAAGGATGGAAGACAGGCAAAGGCTTTGCTTGTCTTTGGGCATTTGCAGGAATTACAACCGCACAGCAAACAGCATGGCATTCATGTGCCAGGTGCTGGTCTAGTTCTTGTAGGATCCTCAGACCTAAGGAGTCCATGTCCGGAGGTGGCCAGGCCCTGCATAGGTGAAGCCTGTGGCATACTCTTAGGGGCACTTTGCCCGGCACCACCTGGGCTTCTCTTCCTGTGACCTCCTTTTCATTACAACTCCTCCCCTCCCCCAGAGCATCACTGTTTCTGTTCCCAAGCGAGCAGTACTTCTGCATAGTGCTTAGGAAGCTGCCATGGCTGTAGTTAGCAGTATCCAGAGACACCAGAGGAGGCATTGTTTCCCCTCATCCCTGAAGACCACTGCCAGGCTGGTCTACCCACCCACATTGCAGTTAGGGGGCAGTTATAGAAATCCCTTCCTAAAATGAGAGCGGTTACCAAGACTACTCAAACACTCACACACTTTGATACTAAGCTACAGTGCAGCAGCTTTACCACTGATAAACAGCAGTGACCTAGGCTTATCTGCTGTTCTCTGAGGCATACTTCCCAGTGTTCTGATTTGGTGGGGGGAGGCTGTTTATGGGAGGCATACAGAACAAGGATTTAAATAGGGGAGAAACTCCAGGGAGCATTCTAGAAGTGTGAAAGTGATAGTAACACCCCCTCCCCCTGCCCAGGTCAGCAGGCACATAATGGCATGCCATTTTCGTAATTAGGCGCCTGTAGATAATACCTATAATTGGCTGGTGTGAGATTCTTAGTGTTTGTTCAAAAACACCAGTTTTTAGCTAATCTTCTTATTAAAGGGTAACCATCTGAATACATTTTCTTTTTTAATCTTTATAGAGTAACTCTTAGTTCATGGGACACAAAGTCTAGAAAGCCATGTAACTGTACCAAATCCCAGTGTCTGAAATTGTAAGTAATCACAAATCCTTCATTATTAAATATGAATAAGGTGTTTAGAAGTCAGTAAGTAGAGTGCAGTGTAGACGAATTGGAATGGCAAGCCGTGTGAATGCTGTAGTTCTCAGCGGCAGTTCCCTAACGCAGATCGCACATTTAAATCTGAGCAGGGAGGAGTCACACTAGCTTGAACCTGTTTCCAATCCCTTAGCCAGTTCAAACCAAGAATGGCACTGCTCGTACTCTTGGGGTGGGGTGGGGGGAGGAGGTAGATGTCATTTTCTTGGTTGTGGATTGCAACACCATCAGTCTACTCTGGCAAGTGCTAATTGGATCTTGTTGAGCATTAACTGTAACATTTCCACACCCTACTTTCTAAAAAGCCTGAGAATTGGTTTATTCTCTATTGAAATTTTATCAGAAAGGTCTGCCCCTAGGGTCCCAGGAGGCTCAGTTCAGGGGGCGGCAGGGAAGGCTGTCCTTCAGAATCTTGGGTGGAAGAAGACAGTATGGCCAAAATTGGAGGCCGCACTGTGAGCGCCAGCTCCTTTCAAGCCTGTCAGGATCTGTAATGTGCTGCCTGCTCTGCGCTCAGCTCTTGCCGGGGCTGCTTTCTCACCCTAATGCCTGCCTAGCTTTAGTTCCATGTTGGAAGGGGAGAGCGTGTCCTAGTGCAATGTCTGACAACCCTAACCATAGTCTCCACACAATTTCTCCATTGCAGAGCTCCGCCGCGGTCGCTGAGAGCTCCATTGATGGGACAGTGATGTGGGTGC